CCATATCTCCCTTGCCACACCAGTGTTCATCAACACCACTTTGCTTCTGCAGTAGTCTAGAGTTTAGCGGCACATCTTCGCTGCAGGTAACGACTTCACAGATGTTGAGTATGGTGTCAAGAAACACTATGTAGCTGCAGCCGATCAACAGTGCTTGCCACACTAGTGTTGATCAACACCACTTTGCTTCTGCAGTAGTCTAGAGTTTAGCGGCACCACTTCGTTGCTCGAAACGACTTCACAGATGTTGAGTATGGTGTCAAGAAACGCTATGTACAGGGCCTTTCAATCTGAGTGTCACGGTCGACGTGGTTCAGGTTTTCGAGAGCCGCCTCGCTTGAGTCTTTCACGTGGTGCACTACCGCACCTGATACCGCGAAGGCCTTAGCGGATGCGGTGTTGTGCCACGCGAGAAACCCAAGCGAGGCGGCTCGCGAGGAGGTGAACCACTTCGACCATGACATTCAGATTGAAAGCCCCTGTAGCTGCAGCCGAACAACAGTGCTTGCCACACTAGTGTTGATCAACACCACTTTGCTTCTGCAGTAGTCTAGAGTTTAGCGGCACCACTTCGTTGCTCGAAACGACTTCACAGATGTTGAGTATGGTGTCAAGAAACACTATGTAGCTGCAGCCGAACAACAGTGCTTGCCACACTAGTGTTGATCAACACCACTTTGCTTCTGCAGTAGTCTAGAGTTTAGCGGCACATCTTCGCTGCAGGTAACGACTTCACAGATGTTGAGTATGATGTCAAGAAACACTATGTAGCTGCAGCCGATCAACAGTGCTTGCCACACTAGTGTTGATCAACACCACTTTGCTTCTGCAGTAGTCTAGTATTTAGCAGCACCACTTCGTTGCAGGGAACGACTTCACGGATGCTGAGTATGCTGTCAAGAAACGCTATGTACAGGGCCTTTCAATCTGAGTGTCACGGTCGACGTGGTTCAGGTTTTCGAGAGCCGCCTCGCTTGAGTCTTTCACGTGGTGCACTACCGCACCCGATACCGCGAAGGCCTTAGCGGATGCGGTGTTGTGCCACGTGAGAAACCCAAGCGAGGCGGCTCGCGAGGAGGTGAACCATTTCGACCATGACACTCAGATTGAAAGCCCCTGTAGCTGCAGCGGAACAACAGCGCTTGCCACACCAGTGTTGATCAACACCACTTTGCTTCTGCATTAGTCTAGAGTTTAGCGGCACCACTTCGCTGCTGGGAACGACTTCAGAGATGTAGAGTATGGTGTCAAGAAACACTATGTAGCTGCAGCCGAACAACAGCGCTTGCCACACCGGTGTTGATCAACAACTTTGCTTCTGCAGTAGTCTAGAGTTTAGCGGCACCATTTCGTTGCTCGAAACGATTTCACAGATGTAGAGTATGGTGTCAAGAAACACTATGTAGTTAGGGCTTGGCACGAGGCGGCTAGTTGAATTTGGAGACAAGTTTCCCTTGAATTTTGCCAATTTTAACGAAGTCCCGCTTGACCTTAGACCATAATCCAAAAAAAAATCCCCAGAAACGAAAGTCGACTATAAAAACGTCGCAATTTTTGCGTCTTTTCGTCCACAAAAACCATATCCCTTTTGCTTTTTCTCCCAAACACGATATCCAGCTTGCTTATAGGCTGTGCTGAGCCCTAAATTTTGGTTGAACTCTGCTTTACTGATTGGTAAACGAAGCTAAGCAGAAGACTTGTGGGAAGATAGCTATTAACAATCAAAAAATGTGTACTACTTTTGAGACAACCTGTATATATCTGATTTGTCTCAAATATCTGCAGCAGGAGGATAATTAATAAAGATCTGTTGTTGGCTAGCATGGTGTAGAGTTTTTTTTAATTTGAATGTCAGACATCACGTTACCTTATATCTCGTCATTAGTAGTGAGTAATATACAGAAGTTAGAGCTGGCTTAGAGTTACGCATTTGATGAGGGAGTAGGCGTTTACAAACCTTGTGCCTCAAAATCTCGAAGAATATGTATTTTCCTACGTGTAATAGCAACTTTCACAGGGTGTCCCAAAAAATGTGCGCACTTTTTGATTGTTAATGACTCCTTGCTTTGACGTCTTTCGGCGAACTTAGGTATTATTCTGAAGAGCGAGGTTCAACTTAGATTTACAAGAGCGAATCAGCGATCGCTCTTTATTACCGAATGATTATGCTAGAAAATTCGAGAAGGATTTCAAGCCGTTAAGTGCCATATATAGTTTTTCAAGCCAAAAGCTCTTATATCGGGAATATCACGGTCGCTGTTGTTAAATATGAAATGTGCAACCTACGGTTTTGCCTCTTTCATAGGGTATTCCAGGATCGTGACAAGTGTTTCTCCAATGTTCATCAGAAATATGTTTACAACGATCAAATGTGTAATAAAATCAGCATGCGCGAAAACTCTTTTACACAATTTTCAAAATTTTTGAGAAAAAATTTTGACAGACGGCCTTTATGCATGGCTCTATATACTGAATGTTCTTACCGTATTCCTACAGTAATGAAAAGGGATCGCTGAATTCCTCCATACTATAAATCTAAGTTGTACTTCCTTCATACAACGGTACCTTGAGCTCGTCGAAAGACCTAGAGCAAAAAAGTTAATGACGATTAAACAGTGTGCACATTTGGGACACCCTGCAGATGGTTCTTCTGGCATTCAGCAACGAGACTTGCTCTTCTCTGTGACCCCTTTGCTCACGAAAACTTTGCTTTTTCCGTTGTTACGAGAGAAGATTATAAATACATGTAAATATCCTCTTAAAGTAGTCTTCACAATCATTGATCTCGCAGTATCTTTTCAAATACGAAAAACGGCATTTCAGCATAGCTGCTGTTCTGAGCTCTTCTTATCCTAATTGGAGCCAAGATTATACAGGGTGTCCCAAAAAGATGTGCACACTGTTTGATCGTTAATAACTCTCTTGCTTTCATGTGTTTTGCCGAGCTTGAGGTACCAATCTATAGAGCGAGGATAAACTTAGATTTACAGTATGGAGCGAATCACCAATCCCTCTTCGTTACTGTAGGATCACGGTAAGAACTCTCAGCATACAGCGTCACTATGGAATAAGCCTTTTGATGAAATAACTACAAAAAATCTAAAAAATTGTGTAACAAGGTTTTCAGGCGTGCTGATTTTACTACATAACTTTCCACAATTTTTCGAGCTTTTTTGATCGCGTATTCACATTTCTAACAAATATTGGAAAATCAGTTGTTACCCTAAATCTGATATAACTCATGAAAGAAACAGTGTACTGACGTGCAATTTTCTTATTTAGAATTAGCAACTTTGATTGACCCAGTTCATGAGTTTCTGGCTTGTTTGGCTTTTTTTCTGAGGCAAAAAACTGCTTCCAATGGCTCAAAATCCTTTCCGAAATTTCTACCGTAATCCTACAGTAATGAAGAGCTGCTTATAAATCGCTCCAGACCGTAAATCTAAGTTGAACCTCGCTCTAAAGGATGGTACCTCAAGCTTGGCAAAAGACATGAAGGCAAGAGAGTTATTAACAATCAAACAGTGTGCACATCTTTTTGGGACACCCTGTATATCAAAAAACTGTCGGCTTCTATTTCCCATCAATATTCCGCGAGTTTTTTTTTATTCAGTAAACAGCGTAGAGCATGAGCTCTGAAGTTCGCTGCAAATTGCACATTAATGGCAAAGAAGTGACTAGCACTTAGTTACAAATCTTATAAATCTGAAAAAGTCTCATGTTTCCGTATGTCACTTATGTTTGCTTTGAAAAACTTGCATTATGAACTTCAAAGAGCTCCTTTATGTTTGACTTGATTTTTTTGTTTTTAGATCCAATCCACTGGATCACTGATTGTATTCACAAGCTCTAAGTATTTAATTCTCTTTGTTTTCCTTAGGTCAACCTGCTGAGATTGCCTATAGTGGATAGATGCAGCAATAAATCCAGATGTAAGAAACATAGTTTTATATGGTGTTTACAAAAAGCGCGTTTTGTAGTATCTGTGGCTATTTCTAGTTTCAATATTCCAAGCTTCTTACAATACAAATTATGATCTACTTCATCGCTGTCAAGCCCGGTCTGATTCTTAGTTTCAAGCTTCTTATTCAAAATCCCAATGCTCTTATCTGTTTAGTTAGGGTTCTGGCAACCCAGATAGAATGTTCATTTCGATCTTGGTTGTTTCTGTTTTATATCTTGTTTTCTATTGAAACACGAAATTATTGTTGTTAATGTAGTTGTTATTAGCAATAATATTGAAATAATAATAGTTTTTTTCTATTTTTCTCTCGGTTTAGTTTGAATTTTGATCATATTTATACTATATATTAATTAAAAACAAAAAAATTTCAAATATGTAGATCTATATATTACAATCTTCCTCATAAAACAGTTGCTAAATTTAGTGATAGCGTGTGATATGCTATTATAAACAATGGATTATAAACAATTCATTTATGCTATTTATTCAAATGAATAGGTACATTTCTGTCAACTTTGTAATTACATCTTGCACCTTATGATAATGATGATACATTTTTTTCAAATTATTTTCTTGTATCTTTTAGTATTTTTTGTTTGATAAGAACAAATGGAAAAATGTTTTGAAATTTGTGATTGAATCAAAAATAATTCTTGAGTTTAACAATTATATAATACATTGATAATAATCAACTTAATTGATTTTTTGAATAGAGTACCATTGGTAGTTGATTTTTCGAACATCTAAATACATAGCTCCACCATGCCCTCCTCCCCCCCCCTCCGCCCCTCTTTATTCATTGGAATTCAAGAATTTTCTAGCATTTCTCTATGAATATGTTACAAAGCAGAAAAAGCGTCTATTGCTGGCATCTGAATGATTACCTGTCAAATTTCCTCACAAATCTCCATCACAGCAAATTTGCTCGCTATTCATTTTCTACTAAAAAGTACCATCTATGCTGCAGCGTTTCTTCTTCGTTTCTTCTTTTAAATTTTTAACATTTTTATTGTAAAGTCTAACTTGGGTGTTTTCCAGCTATGACACCATGAAAAATAGGAAATGAGGTTTTTTCGCGCCCTGCGTCCAAACCGTCACTCAACACCGACTAGACAGAATTTGCTGAGTGCTGAAGTAGTCGATGAGAAATTATCATTTCTCAATCGAGATACGGACTTGATAGAAAAGGTAAGCTTTTTTAGCAATTGTTTGGCTTTTGTTTCTCTTTCCATTGCCATTTTCTTTTCAAAATCTTGAGGGAGGAATCCAAAATGAGTGTGAAGATCTCCTTTCGCTGAATGTGGTGCTGAAAAGCAATGGCTCGTCGGCGGGACTGATATGATTGTTTGAAATATTACCCTCTCCAGGGATGGCCAGAGGCCTGATCGCGCTATTTTTGATTCATTGGCTGGTTCTTGCAGCCGCACTAGCAAACACTATTCATTGCTATGTTTAACTCACAACTAAGGCATTCGTGGGATCCCATATGGCAGCGGGTGAGAGACGTTAATGAGAAAAATTTTTCGGATGCAAATCGAAGTATTTCGTTTAATGGGTAAGCCATTTGCAAAGCATGAAAAAGCGTTGATGTGTGCGAAATCGTAAGGCAAAACCAGCTCTGCCCTTCGAATTTATTCGGATATTGGAGGGCTCTTTTTAGGGGCAGTCTATGTGGCAGCGGCAAAGTTTTGAAAGCTTTTTGCATACTCATTTGTCGAAATTCTATTTTGCGTAAGGCTTTGGCCTAATCGAATAAAATCCAACTTTAGTGAGTTTGGTCCCGCTTCGAAGCGCATACCTAGCGCGAAGTCAGGATGGGTGTTGCCCTAAAATGACGACTGAACGGGAGTCGACGTCGCCCCACCCCTTCCACTGTCGGTCACCGATTCCTTCGTCGTGCACTTCGCAACAACCCCAGACACCTCCAGGGGCCCCGCCTGATCCGGTCCTGCGACGATCTGCATGTCGCTGATCCTGTCGGTGCCGGACAGCCCGCTGACCACGAACCACCTCGTGACGGATGTCGACGAACCGAGCACCGAGTCCGAGTCGGGCAGTCGGCGCTTCGTTCGGCCCCACTCTCGCGCCGCCACTGCCAGTCCGGTCTCCTTACAAAAACCCATCCATGTTGTTGGCAGTGAACCGCTTGACCCTTGCTATCATGAAATTCTTACCCTTCAGGCGGATCCGAACCCCTACCTGCTGAAACCCGACTACCCCCATGAAGCATCCGAGCGGAGAGGCTCTTACCTTCAAGATGTGAGCGAGAAACTTGTTCGGTATTCTAAGGTGTGCAGATTCGGAATTACTCTGAGTCTGAAACTCCACTCCAGAGATTCCTCCTCCTAAATTCAGGACTTCGGTCGAGCGGTGAAGTCTAGTCGGCGGAATATCGAGTTGAAACATACTATGATTGACTTTGGCGAGACCACAACTGCTCATGGAATTCCTATGGTAAGTTGTTTTGGATACAGGTACTCTAGCTTTATTAGAGATATAAATTTGAGCAAAACAACATTTGTTTGTGGCGCATAAAAATACTGCGGGTGCATTCATGCATATCAGGTCAGCGGTCAGGGGTTTTATGTTTTGTGGGTTAAGTGAATTGCTTTTGAATAATTAGGTGGTTTTGAAATCGAGGAAATCGCTTATTTTTTGGCATAATAATATCGGCATCATTTGTTGGGAAATTATATTATTTTGAAAAGCTTACCTTATTTACGCAGCTTGCAATCCTACCTAAATTAATGCCACTGCCCAAATTCGATAGCCACTCCTAATGCAACATAAAACCAACTGAGAGATTTTATAACGCGCTAAATGTTTTATTTCGATTTTGCTTGATACTATGCCCTAAATCAAAGTGTGCTATACGCCAATCATTAACATCTCGTTCTATCATTGGTCAACGATATTCTTGTAAGATTTATAAGTACTCGTTACCTATAAAAAATTCAACAAGATCCTCTAGTGTTATGGGTTGCGACTGGATTTTGCAGTGGGATATTTGAGTTACAAGTCAAGTGTACTTAAATTCTCAGAAGGAAACTTTTTTTTTTTGAAATATGTAGCGAGGAATTCTATTGCGAACTTAAGCAGGAGATTCCGAATTTTATTCTCTATCAGAAATATTTCTCATCAAAGTTAAATCCGATTGTCTTTTTCAGATTCTCAACACTGATCGGCTTTCACTTCGCATCTTCTGGATTATATTTAGCTTGATATCGATGATTTGTTTTTGTTTTCAATGTTATCTAGTGGTCGAAAAATTTCAAAAGAAGGAAAAAATAGTAAATGTTGAGGTGAGTAAGTTATTCCGCCCTCGACAGGATACAACAAAGATGCCTAATAATTGTTTGATCTTGGTATACAGCTTACAAAAACAATAGTCTTCATGTATTAGGTCCGAATTATTTTTAAATAGGGGAAAAAGAGTACATCAAAAAGTTTAATGCAGTTTTTATCTGACTTAGCAAATCTCAAATTATTATATTCGTAACTCAAATTGTTACTTCTTCTGTTGAACGTAACACCATGGAACCAATAAAAAGAAAAATGCAAGACTTCAAGTATCGACAGAAAGATTTTTAAAGGATCTGCGAGATTAAGTTTTCATCTGACTATAAGAGTGAGACGTGTAGATTTGTCATGATTCATTGCAAGTTCGCATCATTAGCGCACGGGACACGCTCAAATTTGGCCAGCTCCGCCCACTGCCACGCCCTTTTGAAAAAAATTGGCAATTTATTCGCATAATGTTTTCGCGAACGGCATCAGCCTGTATTCGTTGTTGAAACTTTTCCATAACTTTATAATTCTCGTTGTAGCTAGAATTTGAATCAGCGCCATTTCCTGCCATTACTATATGCAACTTAAATCCGTTCAAGAAACATCTAGCCCGAAGCGTACCTGAAATAAGTGAAACGGTAGGTCATCACTTTGATAACTTTGCGAACTATTTGAAGTATGTATTTTTACAGTTGGACGCATTTCATCAAGCAGTCACTTACAGTAATAACGCTAATAATGAAGAAATTCGAGAGCGAAGGAAACGAAGTATAAATAAGCACGGTAAGTTGAGAGCGTTTTGTGCCGTTTAGCGTTTTTGCAAATTTCCCCAATCAAAAATTGTTGGTATTGGATAAACATTGTGTAATAATTATCTGTATTGTGTACAGATGATTAGTGGGCTTTATGCACCGCACTTTGCCATTGCCACCCCTCCCCCCCCCCCCCGTCCCATTCCCTCCCCCCCCCCCCGTCCCATTCCCTCCCCTCCCCCCTCGTCCCAGGGACGGTCTGTTTACATAGCAAGGGTGTTTGCAACTTATTAGAAATTGATCTACCTCTGGTATTTGATCCCACAATCCATAAAAATAATACTCAGTCTTATTCTGTCATTGGCTAAATTCCTTGATTGACATCTTTTTCTCCCAGCCTAAAATTTTCTGCAGATCTTCCCTAAAAAAACATATGACCGTTTTTACATCGGGATGGAATTTTTTGACCTTTCACGGGCATATGTTTTATGTTGTTTATCATTCATCTTCTTCATCAATATTAAAGAAAGAAGTATCCTGAAAATATACCTGACGTTTACTTTGTGAAATTAGTGCTGTTCTTGTAAGCTATATTTGTTTTCTCTATTTTCCCTTCAATTAACTATTACAGCCGATTTTCGCTTCCTTCAGTACGAACCTGTGTACTCGGCATGTGATTGCATTCGGGGTAAAGATCAAGAATGTGTGGGTAACGAATCCATCCCTGCATCACTGGAAGACGCTTGCATTTGTAATTATGATCGACAAGATGGCACTGTATGGCCTTGCTATAGTACGCGGTGAGTACCACAATTTGTTATAACTGTATGCTTGATATGTAGCATCCCTATCGTTAGGAAATTCAGATCATTTGGCTAGATATAATATGTTAGAGACCTAATGGGCTTCAGGGCTGCATGTGCCACCACTGTGCCAGCGCCGCTCCAGCGTCGTGCTAGCGCAGTGTCGGAACGGAGATGGTCCACGTGGATTCCGACACTGCTCTGGTACAGCGCCACTCTATCTTTTCCCTCTCCGACCTTGTCTTTTGCTTTTTTTTTCTTTCCATACCAGTTTTTCTCCTCTCCTTTCTATCTATCTTTTTTATTTACTTTGGTGCAAGTTTGTTCTTTCCATCTTTCTATCACCCACCTATCTATCGCGTATGTGCAAGCACCACGTTGTCGATTAGATTCCAATGCATTATGCTTTCAATTTTGAAGAATGTGCCTCAAAAAACCTGTGTTCGTAAGCACATGTTATGAATTTTGGAACAAGGCAATATCTCATATGGCATCCTCTTTTGATAGATATTGGAGAGAGTGGTAACTTCAAAAAGTGAATTCTTATCCTGATGTCCATTTTCCACAGCCTATAAGATCTTTGCTATTACATATGTCGGCAATGGGAAAGCATAGTCTGCTCGAAAAAAAGTAGACTAGTATGTGTGATTTTCAAACAGATTTTTTTTACTACTTGATATGCATTTTGCGCTGTGATGTGCTTCACATGGTGATACATGCTTGAATGCATATCTGAAAAATCTCACATACTTCTGATATTTTGTCGGAATTTTTATCTAATCCTTACGGAGACATTCTATCCCGAAAATGATCAAAATCTCTTCTTTATGGATTTGACGGAATTTGATGAAGAACAAGAGATGCCTTTGACATCTCAGATTCTCTAGGGTATTCATTGTAATTGTGCAAACGTCTCACGATTTCCAAGCGCAAAGTGAGGTAGAATTGAATGGAATGAAGTATTCTGTCATATTCTGCAGGGAATCCCTCATCTACTGGGGATACTTTTGCACTTACACTCCAGACTGTTCATCTAATTTTGTTCAGAAGGATTGAAATTGTTACAATTGCTTTTGTAAGCCATTTGTAAGTACATGTATGAGTGTGGACAATCACCTTTGCTCTAATATATTGTCAACTCAACAAGCTCTCCAAATTGCATGTATCACAAGATTCATTTGCTACTAAAGGCTGAATTGGTTAGATCTGCAGAATGTATGGTCAGCATAAAGATTCCACCACAAATCAGAGAATTTTTAACCTTTTCAGGTTCAATTTCGCTGAATTCAATAAGATTTGGAAAGTCAAAATCATGCACTTTTTAGTGGTGCCCAAAGCAAAAATCAATTTGGCATATTATGGTGATGCAAAGTAATAAATAAAAGAGTCATAATTTCGTGATTCGGTTGTAGAAGCTGCTGGATAGTACAGTGAAATCTGATTTGAATTTTAGTTGCGTTATAACTTACTCTTTTATAAAAAATTCAAACCATGTTAATCGAGAGCGTTTCCACTTAAAACTGCAATCTCCGGTCCGGTATTTTTTCTAGCTTTTCGGTTCCATTAAACATATGTGAATATCATGTTAACAGATTTTTCTCATATAAATTACAATTAGTGGAAAACCATAACACAATAAGCTAGTTGAAATATTTAGAAGAATTTTCTACTTTGACAAAACAATTTTTGTGCGATGTACGAGCTAAAAAAAATTCAAAGATTAGTCATTCAATCAAATATGCTGGGATCTGATTGTAAGAATTTAGAATTTTCACGCTTACCTTAATCCCCTATAAACACGGACGTGGAGTCACTGAAAGTTGTACGTCTGTACTCTTCTGCACTTGTTTTCGTGAAAAATCGAATTTGAGTGCGAATTTCCGAAAACCTTAATAATAATTGCGCTTATAATTACTGTTTTGCAATTCGTTGAGGGAATAAGTCCTCTCTTTGAAAGTTGATTTTTGTAATTGTTTTCTTCAGCACGTGGGAACGAGCAATATGCCCAGAATGTAATGATATAGGATACTGCAATGTACCAAATACTACAGGAACCGATGCAATTCCTTGTGTTTGTCAGCTGGTATGTTCCTTCTATCTTGGGACTTCAAAAGCTTCAAATACGTCACTGTTTATCCTTATTGAGAAGTGTGCTATATTCCAAGCACATAATAGCTTTAGCTTTTTAGAATATGGGCTATTGCATACTCCAAGTTGAAAAGAGACTCAAGCGAGTTTGGGAGTTTCGAGGAAGAAAGGTGCCTGAAGCTGGAAGCCCATTTCGTAGTGATTTTTTGGAACATTTGAAAAAACTTGGATATGGAAATATGACCGATCAAGTGGCGATCACTACCAGGGCCAGGGAGAAGTGAGTTGATTGAAATTTCTACCAAGAATTTTACCAATTTACTTTTCGCTCCAGGCTTATCTTGAGAATGTCCGCTTTACCGCCTCAGCGACGTGCCGCTCTAGGATACGGGAAGTCTGAGCTCATTAAACAGTGTTCTTTCAACAGTATGCAGTGCGATATAGAAAAAGAATTCAAGTGGATTCTACGAATTATTCGAGGACCATGATTTCTAGAGTCTGGTAATTTTTAGGCTACATATCGATCCTGCTTTTGGAAATTGTTACACATTCAACGCTGATCCAAACAAGATTCATTCGAGCAGTAGAGCTGGGCCCAGTCATGGTAAATTTTTTGATCTTTTTCTGAATTTTCCCCTAGTCTGGTTAATTGTTCTACACCCCTTTATAATAGATTCTATGGAATGCAAATTTCTAAATTCGAAAATTTCATATCAGTTTGATTTCTACGTTCAGACGAGCAACAAAACAGAGAGCTCATTTGAACCATATTTTGAGTATGCGCAAAATTTAAATAAGTGGTTATTTGTTTGGAAAAAGTTCCTAATCTCAGTGACTGCTTCTTTCGCTACAAAAAAAGCTTCATAAAATCCGTTGCTGTGGCAGTTTTGTCTGGAAGTGCAGTTTTTTCCAACTTACGAGCTAGCACTGTATCTTCGTGCTTTTGCACTTTTGCTTGCTCTTTATGGGTTTCGCCATCGGTCAGTTTTTTTTTGGCGATTTCCACTTCGAGAGCTACATTCCATTTTCTTGAAGAATGGTTCGAATGTCACAGTTACGGGAAAAAATTTGCTTTTATCTGATGAAGCATTGACGATGACTAGTGAATGATATGACTAGTGACTTCATTTTCTACGCATAAATTTCTAAAGTGATACATTGATCTTGAGATTGAAGTGGATTTGGGACTGGGCAAAGTCATGAGATTTCCGGGATTGTAATAAAATATTGAAGAAGACATCTGGAAGACGGCTTACGTTGCATTCAATATTCGGTTGCTCCGAAGGTTCCGTCGCATCATTTTTAAAAAATCGTAACTTCTTTCTAACGCAATTTTTATTCGTGACTAAAACCTTATTGAAAATAGCAATTCATGCTCTTTCTAGAAACCCCTTGATGCCATCTATTAGGCTTTGAATGCAGAGATAAAAATGGGAAAAGGAAATCACTTCAATTTTGGAATTTTGAGGCAAGCCCGTTAAAAATCTCAATGTGCCATAAAACCCAAAACAGGCTTATCCTAGATTATTTGCCCTCCTGTTTCAAGCTGAGCAAAATTCGCGCTGATTTCGAACTGTTTTTTCGAAAGTTATGATTTTTTTGAAAAAAAATGTCGAAAATCAATTTTTTAATAAAATGTTTTTTCGGCGTTTTTTCTCGAAAATCATAACACTTCCAAGAAGATCTCGATCAGCGCGAATTTCGCTCTTACAGAATGAGGAGATTAAAAACACAGAATACTAGCTTTAGATTTTCTGGCACAGTTTTGGATTTTTTCACGGGCTTGCCTCAAAATTCCGAACTTGGAGTGATTTGCTCTCCCAATTTTATCTCTGCAATCAAAGCTTAATATACAGCAGTCAAGGTGTTTCGAGAAAGCGCATAAATTGCTCTTTTCAATACGGTTTCAATCACGCAAGAACCTTGTGTTAGGAAGAAGTTACAATTTTTTGAAAATGGTGCGACAGAACTTTCGGACCAACTCAATACCTAGATAACCAGTATTCATTGACTTCTAGTTAAATCGCTCTGGCTTAACTCGTATTGAATTTCTGCAGTAAAAACATTCAAAGTTTGTCTAAGTGATTTATCCACAAATTTTTTCAACTCTAAAAAGAATTTTGTGCCGATATCATAAGCACAAAATAATTTTCATTTATCGTGAGCGCAATATCAACACATAGTATCCTCCAGTCTTTGTAATATTGCACAGGTAAACAAGAATATGTACTATTTTCAGAGTTTTTGCATTGTGCAAATCTTATTGACAGGGCCAAGGTGTTGCTGTAGTGAATTTGTCTATGAGATATTCCCCGTTTCAAGAGCAACTTATTTTTCTGCGCATAGATTCGTCTGGGATTGGATCTTATTGTGGAGAAGACGGCTTCCGATGTATTCTTGACGAAACCGTAGGGAAACCATAACTTTGTTCAAAATGATTCTCAAGTGATCGAATCGTGATATTTGGGAAAGTTTTTAAGGATTAAAACCACTAAAAGTCCAAAATATAGCTTTATAGAAAAGGTTATCAGTGAATTTCCTCGACGGACTCAAAATGAAAACCCCTTCAAATGAAAGTAAATTTTGAAAGTTTGATGGTTTTTCTCCAAATATCAAAATCAGATTATGAAAAAATGAGCTAAGTTACGGATTCCCAACGGTTTCGCCAAGATTAATACGTCGCAAGCCGTCTTTTCCACCCGAATTAGGGGCTCAGTTGTAGTGGAAGTCACAAAATGTGTATAGTGTTAGGTTAATATTTTTCCTGACTCAATATCTTTTGCTGATCTATATGCACCATTTTGTAGAACTTGCTCTAACTTAGATTTTCAGTTATTATAAAAATTACGGTAGGAAGTTTCATCATGCTGTGCCATTCTGAAGTAGGCCCTATATTAGAAAAAAATTCCAAAAGAAATTTGGGAAATTATGCAGTACGCTTTTCTCGGACGTTTGCCACTTTTTGCAAGTTTCTCGAGCATTTTTGGTGTGTAATCACATTTTTGAGGAACATTTTAAATGCAATACGGTTTACCTGGAACACTTATGGAAGAAGACCAGTGCGGAATTTTTTGAAATCAATAACTTTAATTAGCCTAGCATAAAAGTTTGGCATGTTTGGTTTCATTTCTATGGCAAAAGCGACTAGTGGCTGAAAGCACTCTGCAAAGCCAGTGGCTCAGAACTGTGACTACTAGTTTTCGGTCCATCCCTGGTCCTCTGTTTGAGCTGAGTCCATGTCCTTGGACTCTCGTGAAATTGTCAAAAAGTGCTTTTTATGGCTTTTTCTGGCCTTGGAGTTTGCTGAAGGGGGTGCACGAGAGATTCGCGCCAAAAACCGCGGCTTGCCAAGACAGTGTATAAGTGGGGTTATTCCGCCCATTTTGACGGCAATTGGTTGGGTGGCTCAGGCAGCCAATCGGGTCTCAGTTGGCGGAAATCGCTCGTCCGTCCCTCCAAGAAGGCAAGAAATTAAAAATTCGCAGTCGTAAATTTTGCGAGCCACTGCCTTTGAAGTTCCCACAAGAACGAAGAGAGGTTGGAAATTTGCTTCATACTGAAAGTCCAAGTCAAAACTAACTCTAGAATTGTACTTAAAAATAGGCAAGAGACATTGAAGCAAGAGATTTATCAACCATCAAACAGGGTGTGTGAATTTTCTTGGAACACGCTGTAATTTTCAACCAGTGGCAACATATGTATAGCCCCTTTTCAAAGGCAGCGGCTCGGCAGAATGACAACTTTGGAATATTCATAATATTCATCGTTCTCAGTTCTCCTGGATGAGCTAAGTCCAAGGCTGTGCTTTGCTTCTTCGATATCAATAACCCTCTTTTCCAGACGTGAAAAGCGCTATTTGAGGGCGAACCGCGTATCCCCCTCTAGAGCGCGATTGGCTCGTGAGTGGAATACTGTACATACCGTGCCCACGAGCCAATCGCGCTCTAGAGGGCGGATACGCGGTCCGCCCCCAAATAGCACTTTTCACGTCTGGAAAAGTGGGTTATTGATATCTTTTGAAGCTGCAAAGCACAGCCTTGGAATTAGCTCATCCAGGAGAACTGAGAACGATATATCCCAAAGTTGTCATTCTGCCGAGCCGCTGCCTTTAATCTGTCACTCTTCATACAACTCTGACCCAAACTTTAATCCTAGACAGAAAACATTTTACCAATCCATGTTTAGATTTGTGTAAACTTCCAAGTCCATAGTAATCAATAGCTTTATGGTAGCCATTCTTCTCATTGATTAGCCAAGTACACTTGGTTTTTGAAAGAACCTAAACAGTCCCACAATTTTTTTCTTAGATCTACTGTTCATTAAGTATTGAGGCTTTTTGACGCCTTGAATCAATTGATTGTGATTGAGGTTTAGGAGTTAGATACCTTCTGTTAAGAACCTGTTTCTAATCTACAGGATTACCAAATTTAGGTTTGCGCTTGATGGTGTTTGTAAACACATCCGACTATCTTCCCACGACAGAAGCTACAGGAGTCCGAATTGCAATACATGGACAAAGAGAGTGCCCTTTTCCGGATACATTTGGCTATTCTGCACCAACTGGAGCTGTTTCTTCTTTTGGAATGTCACTTGTGAGTGCTTTTACCCTGAGTTAGCGAATCCGGAACGAAGGTGATTTAGAGAAAGGTGAATCGGCTTGAAAATGGGGACTGCTTCAATCCAGACACACCTCTCCCAACCGGGTACATCTACCGCGAGTATCAGTATGAACCTGAGGTAAGTGACATGTGAATTCAAGAAAAAAATTCTTTTCTTTGCTTGGAATTAGAATTTCAGCAGGTAGAGATTAAGTTTGGAAGCTCACCCGCTCCTCCCCTCCCCCCCCCCCCCCCTCCATCCCCCGCTAATGTGAATTATATTGCCCAGCGACTACACAATACCATTTCCTAAGCTTTTAAAACTTAAGCACAGCCGCTATGAAGTCTTGCCTCCACCGATTATCCGTAGTGTGCTAGGACACACAGCAGCCAATGGCAGCCTCGTCTGTGAAGTAAAGCGCGCTATCAGTGGCTAACGCGCGTCCTGACATGTTTTTCGGCTTGCGATGAAGCAAGAGTCGTTTCAAGCAGTTGTCTCGGATTGCTGTTCAAGCAATCAATACGACTGTTTTCTTCATAAAGAAACCCCTTGCGCTGACTTGTACAATAGACCAATTTTGAAAGGGGAAGGGGAGGGGAAAGGAAAAATTCTCGGTAATTTTCTTATAACTTCATAGATTTGGGCAAACCTGTAATAGGCTAATCCTATTGATTCAGGGATGTTATCGAAATTGCTACCAAAAACGTATCATAAATCGATGCGGCTGCGCTGATCCACGATTTCCACTACCTTCAAGTTCTGTCAGTGTTTGTGACATACGAATCGAGCCAATAAGTAAGTACAAAGAAGTTCTTCAGCAGTTTATTGAGTACCTCAAATTAGGAGACTGTTTGCTGGCTGAGAGTGTGCGAATGACGAAAAGGAAGTCCTGTCGATGTACTCATGCTTGTAAACAGGATGTTTACACCACCACCTACTCAGCAGCAAAATGGCCGTCGAAAAGTGTGCGCATGGAATGCGCTGAAAAGGACTGCAATGAGTACTATAGGTATTTTTTCCGTTTATCAACCTGCTTACTATTGTCCATGTTGACGAGCAAGTAGAAAAAGAAAAGGCAAAGGCTATTGCAGGACGAAGATGCCGAAGCAGTATAGGTTGAGCGGGCGCGAACGCAACGCGCGCGTATCCTCACAGTTGTAAATCCTCCGCCTCCTGCGCTCTGCGGATAATAAAGCCGCGTTCGCGCCCAGAGATATTGCGCTTTCGTTTTGCAACAGCCTAAGATGGAAATTCTTGCACGTTGTGTAATACAATGCAAGCAGGTACTCAAACGTTGACTTTCGACGAGTTTTTTGTCTGTTTGAGTAGTAAGCGAGACATCTGGTGAATCATTCGAAAAAATGAGAAACTTTTCAAAAAGCAATAGTTTGCTGCAATCAATGATCGACATAGAAGTCAATTTAAGAAATCGAAAACATGGAATTTTCATCGAACTCAGGACCGCACAATTCGGGAACGCGCAAAAAATTTGAAAAATAAGATTTCCTGTGAAATCTGTACGACTGGTGATGATAATTGATTGAAAACTAACTTTGCCAAATGAATGCCTATCATTGAGAAAAAGACTGAGACCTCATATTTGGATGTCTGCAACCCTACGAATCAAGACTCTAGAATGAGCCTAATCTTAGTAAGATCTCCCTATAAAAATGTTGTTATCTGTGCAGGAAAGTCATTGTTGCTATAAACTACAAAATACTGTGAGCGGCTTCTGAAGACATTTTTTATGGTATATGATGAGCTTGTTATGCTTTATGCATCAGCAACTAACCGCAAATTTTTCTGCACTCATTTCTTTACTCAATTTACCCTCTTATTTTTTCTCTTTTATTTCCAGTTTTTTGGAGTTCAGGGATTTTACTCCCGTTGCTCACCGGAAGCCCTCAACTGATTTCTGAAATTTTCATGGAAGTTGGTGCTTTGGAAGTTTTAATGACCTACGTTGAAATCACTTAAATAATAAGGGACAAATGCTTTAAGCAGTCGTTGTCCAAAAGTGGGGTTCCTGTTCTAATTCCTCCAATGTTCGCTCAAAATTTGTCGGGATCTCCAACCAATGATTTTTACAAACCCTTATTTTATCTATTTTCCAAAGTTCCCATTTTTAACTTTTGGAAGAGCTTTAATCACTGTAGAGAGTAAACCAATTGCAAGACAGTGCTTTTTTGGTCTCCATAGCTGGATTTTCGAAAGTTTTTGAAATGATTTTTTCAATGCTACCAAATTTGATTTTTGGTCATCCCAAACCTCATAGAACATCAAAAAGCTAGCAACTAACGTGTCTGCAGACTGTTCTCCTTTTTTTTTTGATAGAGGTTTTTTCGATTCGTATGGTTTTGAGGTTAGAATCAATGTAGTTCTAGCTTCTAGACGCACCTTAAGCTGTGCGCGGAAAATTTGTCAATATTCCAAAGCGGTAAAGACTCGTTGTCTTTTTCAAATTAGTATTCAATCAACTAAGCTTCAGATTCCGAAGGTTTTTTTTTTGTGTTTGAAGCGTTTGTGTTTGACGACTTCGCATTATTTGAGACTTTTGCAAAACATTTCTTTTGAAAATAGCGAGCCAGTCGAAGGAGCCCAAACATTGGTTATCTTGCATTTTGTCTACGCTAACAGTGTTCAAAGCTCTTCCAATTTCAAAATAAGCTAAAATTAGGTTAGGTTAAAAATCATAGGTTGGAGATTTTGCCGATTATTCGAGCGGCCATCAAGATCTCAGAACAAAAGCATTATTGTTAGAAAGAGGTAAATATCCTGCACTGAACATTTTCTAGAGCGTTTTGTCTCTTTTTATTTTAAACGATTTATAAATCTCAAAAACGGCACACTTTCGGAACGACCTAATATTATTAGGTTGGCTAGAAATCTTGCGTAATTTAAACAAAATTCCTTTTCAATGACTAAACCTAAATTCACAATCTTGCTCTCTAAAAATATTAGAAGGGCTGCGCTCCATGATGGATGTTTAAGCGCAAGATTTCATGAGCTAGCCCCCGAGAACGAAGCTCTCAAATATGGGACTTCAAAATTTGCAATTTTGAGTTTGATGCCAGAAAATCGCAGAGTGCCTCTAGCTAGCCGAAAAAATCTGTAAAAATTACTTACACTGCAGAAGTTCATAAGTTACTTTGGAAGGCTTTGATCTTGCACGGTGAAGCAAAAACAAAAAATTCGTGAAATAGTCATTTTGCGGGAAAAATCCACTCATTAGCGCAGTTTTTCGGCAAAAACAATTTGTTACACTCCAAAAAACGTCGCAAGGTTCTAAGTAGGCAATATTTTTAATTCTGGTTGCAAACTGTGTTTTTGTGAAAAAATTACATCGATAAGGGGATTTATCCTGTAAAATGACAAATTCCACAAATTTTTTGTTTTCGCATTTCCATGCGAGATTAAAGCCTGCTAAAATAACGTATGGACTTCTGCAGTGTAAGTAATTTTTACAGGTTTTTTTTTCGGCTAGCTAGCGGCACTCTGCGATTTTCTGGCACCAAACTCAAAATTGCAAATTTTGAAGTCCCATATTTGAGAGCTTCGTTCTCGGGGGCTAGCTTATGAAATCTTGCGCTTAAACATCCATCTTGGAGCGCAGGCCTTCTAATATTTTTGGAGAACAAGATTGTGAATTTAGGTTTAGTCTTTGAAAAGTTATTGAATTTTGTTTGAATTACGCAAGAACTTTCTAGCCAACCTAATATATACATGTGGAACTGAGAAAGAGCACTTGGTATAAAAAAAATGAAATTCTACAAGGAGTAGACAGATAAATAAGACCTAACATACACAGGTTCTGAAGCTTATTCAACAGTGTGGATTATTCGTATTTCTTACTTCCTAATAAAGACCATTCGTAAATGACCTCAGAGCTCACAAGGTGGCCTTTTTTGGTCGAATTGGCTTTTCCATATGAAACCTATATTGCTTTGTGGAGCCTCGAACATTAATTCCGAATCTGTCTTCCTTTTTTTGCTAACACTTCTGCAAAAGAAGTTATGAGTGTTTGAAAGTACAAATTTTTCAAGCCTCAAGTGGCATAAAATTAGCGAAAAGCTGTACAGAAACCTTAGGATTTCCACAATTACTCATTTCTAATATCTAATTCACTAGAAAGTTGATTTACTCACTTCCAGCTGTTTTTGTGCAGGTTTTAGCTAATTATGTGCCCCTACATGACAAATTTGGAATTTTAAACATCCTTAACTTCTTTCGTAGAGTGTTCTGCAGAAAAGGAAAACAGACGTGGAATCATCGTCCACAAAGCTATATAAGCTTCATATGAAAAGGCCACTACGACTAAAAAAGGTCCTCTTATCAGCTAAAGCTGTAGCTCAAATGTAATAACACCGGTATCACATTGAGAGTGTATAGTTTGCTGAAACGCTTAGCAAATTAAGAATGTCAGTTTAACCTATTATTAATCAGTAATCAGACGTCTCAAAGAAAGCAAAAGCACCATTTCCAAATCTTCATTCATTTTAGCGAACATGCTGCTATGCTAGAAATCTACTATGAGCAAATGAGCTACGAGGTTTTACGAGAATCTGAATCGTACTCATTCGTGAATCTCATATCCGATATCGGAGGTCAGATGGGATTATGGTTAGGTAAGTGCTTTATTGCGCTTCGAATCGCAAGCAAGATCTGAGCCATTCTCTTCAGGAGCATCGGTTCTTACTGCCATCGAGATTCTCATTTTTCTCATTAGCGTGGTTTCCATTGCTTTGGGAACTCATCTGAGGTACGGTGACAAGGATAAAACCGCTGGGAAGAAGTCACGTGACGAAGACGTTAGTCGAAAAGCATCCACGAAAACTAATTACGAGGCCGAATAACTTTGTTAGAACAAAATTGCTTAGCGATGATTATCTGTTTATCTAAGTCGATCTCATTTGAATTGCTCCGCGTTCAAGTGAACGCCATATTGTGAATCTCACCAATACGAGTATAAGAGTTCGAATACATTTTGTTTTTCTTATTGCCATTTTCGAACTCCATTCTATTGCCACTATTCGATTGAATAGAAAATAAAGCATTGCTTCTTTTATGATGAACATCCGTAAACTCATGTTACATAAACATTAACATACTTAATGATAGCTTTTCAATGAACCAGGCACTTTTATAAAGTTCTTTATTTCAATTTTGCAGTTCATTCATCCCTAACCATAATCTCTGATTACAAGAAGAAGCGAAGATTGTGTGCTTCACGTCAAATGCAACTATAAGAACAAATAATATTTGTTTGCTTCCATACCCACCTTCAAGAAAAGTGTCGTGACCTACAGGAAAATTTTCGTTGAAGACGGCTCTGTAGAGGACGTTGTGTCGCAACAAGCTGGTTCTAGACATCTGGCACGGCTTGCTCATCCTTAAGATACGATATATGGAAAAGTTATTAGTGCCTAAACAATATTTAGTCCTAACCAGCATACTAGAGGAATTTTGCAAACAAATTTCAGCGGTTTCTCATGATTTCGAACTACCTACCGTGTACCTACCGTAATCTAAAAAATGGCGGCAATATCGAAAAGTGAGTATTCGTGTTCAACGTGTCAAATACCTCTGCGCAATCGAAATCGGTTGATTTCTTTTTCTTATTTCCCATTTCTGTACTATGCAAGAGTGGTTGTTCATACCTCTCACCCAAAAGAAATCTGTAAGTGTACCAACTGGAAAAAATTGGAATCTCGTGGTGTATCAAAAGGGTTTGTCGCACATGTAATTTAACGTAGTATGCAGAAATTAGTGAAAATCTTTGGAGACCATGACAGATGGAAAAATTACTGACTGACTGAATGCAATGGAAGCGCGCCCCAACACAACACTTGCCACGCGGCCGCATGCACGCAAGCCACGGCAACCACTCCTATGGTAGGCGCCAGACTAACCGATTGCCTGCGTCAACAGAACGCGGCGTAACTATTAAGTTGATGTCATTTGGAGTCACGTTGGACGGAAATCGAAGTAGCTCTGCGATGTTCGCAACAACTGTAGTTTTGGAAAGATGATGAAGCTCCGCAGTATGAGAGGATGGTGAAATGGCTTTACCGTTGAAAAAATTTCATTATAGCGAAATCGCGCACGCCGACTTAGGGAGGCGGCCCTTCTGAACCCACGGTACGCTACAGTAATTCAAATCCTGAGACGCGTACGCTCGCGCTGCGTTTAACGCGGACGAGTCGTTCCCTAATTTCGAAAGTCGCTCAATTTGCATCAGCGGCGCACAACTTGAATCAACGAACTAGTCCTGCTGATGTCGCTGTACTCCCGCATCTGGTATTCTGATGCGCAATCTAGCGCCCACTGGTCGTTAACTACTTCATTTCTAGTTATTCTTGAATTGGTAAGTTGCATGTTATCAGACAGCAGTAGAGCACTGTAACCGATTCGTTATATCTTGTTCTTGTCTTTTTTTATTCGAAAACCGCTTAGATTTGAAAAAGTAAGACTTCCGATTGTTTTAATGACCAAACAAAAGCTTACTCCATTCATTATCTGTGTGTGCAAAGAATCTTTTTTGCACCCTTTAGGAATGTTGTTTTCTGGACAATGCTTGTTTTGGGAAGAATAGTAAACTCGTCATCTTTCATTTCTACTTTTCCATCATGTTGTTCTGAAACATCTATATTTCTTTGATAATCGAACCTGGGCTCGAAACAGAATTTCATTTGCACGAAATTTTGTTGCTGACTGTCGATCGGGTTGCAGTGTTCTTGTTGCTAAAGTACTCGGCTGATGCTCGTAAAGACAGTTTTCGAATTGTCTGCTTTGAATATCTTATTGCATGAAGATCTAGGCCTTTATGCAGGTTGTCATGAATTACTGGAGGCATGAACCCTGTTTAAAGAGCTAGACGATCTAGTTTTTTTTTTGAGACGTTTCTGACTGTGTTGTTTTCGTGAGGTAAGACTGAAATGCTGCAGGTCTTTTCGTGATCCGGAATTTGTGACTGAGTAAGCACAGACGCAGGTTGTGAAAATTGTCACCTTGTTTGAGTTCTTTAGCTTGCCAGTTGAAGTTGTTAAAAATCACTACATTAAATACGCAAGATCTCCAAGCTTGTGTTCTTGGATTCTATGACTAGGCGCCGAATTGTAGAAGAGGAAAGTAAGCAGGACGTGCGCGAAATAAAACAAACCAATTATTTTGTCAATGATTGCTCAATTTCCAAGCAACAATGAATGAGCAGACTAACGTCAACGCTAGTTGACTAGTTCGGTTACTATTCATGACTCTTGGCATCTCACTGATGTTTACTTGGTTCTAGACGCCCCTGCCCTCTTGTGGCGTATTTCGAGGTGCATAAGTTGTAGGTGCACGCAGTACGCCAGCGACGAAACTCGTCCGAAACTGCGACGCGTCCTGACAGGTCACCGCTCGCTTACGCGGAGCGCCCAATCACAGCTCGACCTTTGCAGCTAGGTGACCTATCACTGTCGTCGCGATTGGAGCGGGTTCAGAAGGGCCTACACCCGCCGACTTAGTTTGCCTCCAACGTGACACCGAATGACAGTGACTGTGCCGCATCTTGCTGAAGCAAGACAGTCGGCTAGTCTGGCGCCTATGGTATGCGCCAGACTAAGCGACTATTTCGTTCAGCTGCAAAAGGCGCCAGAATAAATCTGCTGCTGCTAAGGCCTGCTTCAGCTGCAGGTCCCGCGCAGAGTTAACGTTAATTCTGTGCGCTTTATGCAGCTGAACAAAATATTCGCTTAGTCTGGCACCTATCTATCTAGCCGATCGCCCTGCTTAGGCAGGGTTCATACTGTGCCGCACAAAGCGGCACAGTTCCCGCACAGCGCTCGAACTGTGCTCGAACTGTGCCGGAACTGTGCTGCATGCGCAGTTGGAGTATTTTGACCGTTTCTGACGGTTTTTCTTCTAGGTTTCTCTCAATTCGGGCCTTATTCCTCCACCCCGCTTTTCCTTTTGATGAGTGGAACTCCGAGTGCAAAGCGGGGTTGAGGAAAAAGCGCTGTTCTGCTTTGTGTGTCCGATTATGTGTGTTGTTCCGCTCGTTCATGTCTCTTTGTTTTATCCTTGCATAAAAGTATTCCATCTGTTCCAGAGGGCACTGCGATACTTTCGCAGGCATTTTTCTTGAAGGAGGGGAAAAATAGTGCAGAAGAGCAGGAAATCCCATCAATTTGTTGGCCACTACTGGGCTCCTAGCCCCTCTTCGTTTTCATTTCATGTTTTTTCGTTTTTTGTTTTACCCCGCTTCCCTTTTTGTTGTGTAGCGCTTCGAACTTGAAACGGGGTAAAAGAATGAACGCGATTGTGCTTTGTGTATCCTCTCAGCCGCGTTCTTTTTCCATTTCATTGCTTCTTCGCTCTTTCTTCTACCCCGCTTCAAGTTCGAAGCGCTAAACAACAAAAGGAAAAGCGGGGTGTAGGAATAAGGCCCGAATTGAGAGAAACCTAAAGAAAAACCGTCAGAAACGGTCAACATACTCCAACTGCGCATGCAGCACAGTTCCGGCACAGTTCGAGCACAGTTCGAGCGCTGTGCGGGAACTGTGCCGCTTTGTGCGGCTCAGTATGAACCCTGCCTTAGGCGAGCGGCGCAATTATGTCGTTTGGTGTCACGTTGCACGAAAACTGTGAACCGAACGTCGCGATTTCCGTTCAACATGAAACATGACGCCAGATGACATCAGTCAAGTGCGCCGCCTTCTGCTGAAAGGGGACGATCGGCTGTATAGCCTGGGACCTATATGTGACGGACAGGGGAGGTTAATTACCCTAATTTCACGCGTATAAGGCGCGGGGGATTTTTTTTCAAAATCGACCAGACAAGCCAAACGACTTTACAACCAAAGGATCCTATGACGTGCTGTATATTGCGTGGGAGAATCGTGCGACGTAAGGATTTCTTTCCGGAATACAGTAAAGCGGCTGAGCGGCTTGCTTGAAAATTCGAAAAAGTGCGCGAAAGTGCGCATTATACGCGTGAAATTAGGGTAGTCGAAAGCACCAATCCGGATGAAACATACATCATCTCGAAGCGCTTGAAACGCTGATTCCAGATCTATAGTTTCTAGCAGCGGAGCGGTTTTGTGGAAGGAGTTATGAGGGGTGTTTCCCTCTGGGGTTGAGGCGCCCTCCAGCTGTCCCTTTATCTATAAGCACTGTAAAGAAGTGCCAACTAGTGGCAAATGGCCTAATGGTAAGTAATTGAATGAGTATTACAATAAGAATGATAATACTCATATTATTTTGGTTTTTTAAACACTTCTAACTTCGATAAGCATTATCAATCAGGAATCTCAGGCTTTACGACTCCAAAGCCACTAAGAAGCTCAATTTTGCAAAAATTACACTTCTAACTTCGATAAGCATCAAAACCATCAGAAATCTCAGGCTTTACGACTCCAAAGCCACTAAGAAGCTCAATTTTGCAAAAATTGTGATAAAGTGAAGGGGATAAAAACCTTGACACTCTCCTTATCAAGCTAGTCACTTACCACAAGGCCAGTGGCCACCAGTTAATACTTCTCCATAATGCTCATAGTTGGGGAGACTAGCTAGAGGGCGCCGCAACCCTAGAGGAAAACACCCCTCATAATTCCTTCTACAAAACCGTTCCGCTGCTAGAAACTATAGATTTGGAATCAGCGTTTCAATCGCTTTGAGACGATATATGTCTCATCCGGACTGGTGCTTTCGACTAAGTATCCTCTCCCAGTGGCGTACCCAGGATTTCGGCTCGGGGGGGGGGGGGGGGGGGGGGCGCGACAAAAATTTTTTTTAAAGAAGGTGCGTGGCGTTAGCCACGCACTCCGAAAAAATTTTAGGGGTGCTTCCCAAAATTTTTTCGATCCCCGACCCCTAAAATCTGGAAAAAGGGGGCGTGGCGTCAGCCACGCCCCCGAAAAAATTTTTTTACAAGGCTAATTTGAATTTTTAAAAATTTTTAAGGATTATTTTAATTATTTACAAAAATAAACAAGTCACTTACACATTTTTATAACCCATATAAGTAACTTTCAAAAATTTCGCGACCCATTCTCGGGGGGGGGGGGGGGCGCGCCCCCCCCCCCCCGCCCCCCCCCCTCGGTACGCCACTGTCCTCTCCTTGTGAGAACAGTGTAATGTCGTTTTGCTTGGCAAGGTACTCGTGTGATTACACCGCAGGTCTCCCAGGGAGGTGGTAATACCTCCTCTACAAACCCTTTTTGCGTTTCTTTACCGCATCATGTGCTAATTGAGAACTTCAGCTGACATGTTTTGATGAAATCTAGAAGATGATGCAGCTATAGAGGTCCAGTGCTCAGACATCTTTTGCGGCCACCCGCGCGCTCATGGCAGGCTGGGCGAAACATGAGTAAACTGTGTAAGATCTTGCAAAACTTTCGTCAGTATGAAAAGCAGTACTCTTTTGGTTCACCCCAGGGATATCCCTATTCATCGCAGTACAAATTGGGGAACAATTACGACGAAGTGTCGTTGTATGCCACCCTATCTTTGCTTTACATGCTTGCCATAGAATGAGTTCAGTGTGAGTGCATCCAGAGTTCTATAGTTATTATGCATGTAGAATTCACCCCTGGAATGGAGTACACGGTAGTGGAGCTACATTTGACCAATCAATAAACGTATGTTGTAAATAAATGCATTTCACCACATACGTTCAAAAAGATTCCAAACTGCAATATATATTGGTAGGGATGGTTTACTTGGATTACAGGATGTAAGCGCGGTTTTTATTTAAAGTTTGTTCTGATCAGATAGCTCCAAAATCGACATCATGCGCGTCCGATCGTCACTTTTTGCGCCGCATCATTATCCTCACTATGGCACGTCGCAGGACCATGTCTCTCCTCACCTTGCGTAATCTCTATCCGGCAAAATACCAGATCTAATAGGAGAAGATTAGTAAAATAATCTGAGATTTTGCGATAATGTTTAGACTATTCTATGGGACTGATGGATGAGTCAAAATAGAGGCAAAATATACCGTACCCTGAGTCCATCTATACTTCTCAAGTGAAAGTAGTGGGTAGGTTTTCGCGCAAAAACAATGAATTGTTTTGACTAATCGTTCCCAAGTCGTGACAAAAAAAGTCGGTGTGAACATTAGCACCAATTTCATCCGTGAACGGGCTCAAATTACTCTGCAAAACTGTTTTCAGCATTTAAACCGGTTTAAACAACTGCGTATATGTTCTGTATCATGCAGCCCGAAAAAAGAACAGATCAATAGACGTTTTCGAAGAACTGAGGCCTAACTGACGATCCTGCCATAGGTGTTCTAGTACAAACTGGCCAACAGATTCTCCAATATTATCTTCCTTATATTCGATTGGGATTTTATGAAGAACACCATCAAAGATGGAGTGCCAAGCGCCACTTTATTGTGCACATATTTGAAGGACGCAGAGTGCGCCAGTGCCAATGCCGAACAGTAATCGCGCCGTGACACGTTGAATACGCGATAACGGCAGCAAGCAGTTCATTTCGAGCTTCTGCTATTAGTATACCGTTTCCAGTCATACAATTCGCGTCTGCTACGTTCACAGCGATAAGCGTTACATTTTGGTGGCTTTTTTCACCACTTTTTTTCGCAACGCTTTTGTCTCTGTAGTCATTGTTGTCGTTTGATGTCCATAGCATGTTCGCTTCTATAGAAGTTTCAGGTATGATGAGACCGCTAATTATTCTACTCTTCACCATATTTTCTGTTTCTGCTGTCTCACTCAATACCCACTGGGAAGATCAGGACACAAAGTGGTTGACACTAGTTCTTGAGGTGCGCATCATGATCATTAATCTTCACAACAAGATTATTTGACTTTTTAGGATATTCTTGTGTTGAAGTCGGACAGTCTTATTCCTCTACATTATGCTACAAGCACATTGAAGCTCTTGAAAGTGCAACCGTCCGAGGAAGCTGCTTTTGTAATTCCGTTTCTTGTAGTAGCCTGATAGATAGTTCAAGCTTGTAGTTGTAGGCCGCTTGTGAAGCAGCTCAGAAAGCGGATGTCACTGAACTTGATAACCTCTATGATGCAGCCTCTATCACAGGTGATCTCCCGGACTGCACTTTGCCTGACGTATCAGGGGCAAAAGTAAGCTCTTTCTATGTTTTTTTTTGTTCTTTGTATGACTGTATATAAGTGGATATGGACATGATTTTTGGAATTACTGCTAGGTTGTGATTACATGGCTTCAGCTTGGTACAAAACGAGCAGAAGCTGTTTTATGGTGCTACTTACATTGTTGCCCATAGGTTACCTTCTGCAGTGATCTTCCTGAAGGCACATTTCACTAAACTTAAAAATCAACTAAAGAAGAGAATAATGGAACTGTTCTGGTGTTTACAAGCAGCATTAATAAGTCATCTTTGGCTGCATTGTTTCATTAATTTTTATGTCCCGTAATCGTCAGTGCTTCAATAGTAGAAGCCGACGACATGTATTGTGTTTGTGACACTATAGTAAGCGATACTTTTGCTTTTGTTACTTCTCAGTGTTGTATGATTCATGAACTGAAGTTTCTTATATTGTTTTGATTAGCTCATTGTTCTGATTACCTCTTACTTCATTGATAGTAATCACTGTGACATAGAATGTTCCCAGCACTCGTAAGTCTTGGAAGACTTGGAAGACTCAAAGAAAGAAAGTTAAAGACTTAAAGACTTGAAGACTCTTAAAGACTCTTTCTTTTTATACTTGAATTGTTCTGTTCAGAAGCTCATCGATGGTGTGATTACCGAAATCACCCCAAATGGTGAAAGAATTTACCGAGCTCTTCGTACGGCTGAAAGATTGAATATCAAGGTTAGAGTTCCTTCTACATTGCATCCTTTGTTTTTGAGTTGAATTAGGCATTTTGTTCAGGTGAATCAGGAAGCATTTGATAAAATCTTGGCTGAAGCCATGAAAGATGACAATCCACTCAAGTACGTTGCTTCCATTGATCTTTATAGTATTTTCTTTAGTACATAATTTTAGTTTGGGATGGGTTATGAATGCCGCAGCTCTTTTGAACAAACCTTTGACGACGAAATATTTTGACAAAATCAAGAACCTGGTTGCACAGGCCGACGAAGTAAATAAGAAGTTCCTTCAGGTAATCACCTTCATTCTTTTGAGCTTCCATATCTGGCAGTTACATGTTTAGTTCGAGGGAGGTCTCATTCCCACTGCGATTGCAGTCCATGGCATTTTATCGCTAGCTGAGAAGCACGGACAAGTTCCAGCTTTGTCTAAGGTGCTGTTTCGACTTTACTTTTCTTGTTCTAGCTAATCAGTTGTTCTATGGAAGTTGTGTTACAGGAGCAAATGATTCTATTCACCAATTATCTCATGTCGCGCAAGCATGTATCAACTGAAAGATCCGCTTATCATTTGGTGAAGACCCTGGGTGTTCTTGTGAATAATCACCAAATTGTGCCAGTGACTGTGTCGCGTGTTGGACCCGTAATGTCTGATCGTTCGCAGGTAATGGTGTTTGTATCATGATTTTTTTCTCTGTATTATTTGCTTTATAGCCTGTGAAGGTTGCTGTCGCGAATGTCTTTGGCTTGCCTGTCGAAGTGAGCGATGTTCACGTCGATATCGTTCCTTCCGGGTCAGAAAAAGCTGTGAAAACCAACCTGAAGATGAAGCGTTTGGATTCGTATGTTCTCAAATGCTGGCATAGTTTTAAAATCATTTTGTTGTTGAAGGGATCCTATGATATGGACAATCAATGCTGACCAACTCCCAGAAGATAATGGTTTTGTAAATTTGAATGTGAAAATCGATACGAAGGTTTGCGTACTATTTGGTATTACCGCTTAAGCTGAAAATCATAGATGTACACGTTCAGGACAAGCGTCTAGTGGGTTTGACTAGCTCCAGCGTAGTCATCAAGAAGAGCGATGATGTTACCGTAGACGACTTCAAAATCGCAGTTGTCGAGAAGGACGAGACCATCACGGGTGCATCTCTCAAGAGGTAATCCATCAGAGCTATCTTCAACTCTATCTCCTTGCTTTTTCTTTATCATCTGCCTAAATTCTTAATTGTAGCTGTATTGTTCATCTATACAGTTCTGTTGGAATTTTCTGCTTTAAGTATCCCACAGTTCTCCAAGCACAAGGATGTGTTCAACGCAGACGTCACAAAGCGTATACAGGCCACATTCTCTGTAAAACAAAAGAGTAAATCCGGTCTCATACAACCACATCAGGTTCTCGGCGCGATGATTTACGGCCATTTTGATATGAGAATATCATTGTAGGCGTTCATCCTGTTCAAACATGAGAATGGGGACGAAGTTTATTACACTGCTGACGCACAGAAGGATGGAAAGTATATCGCTGACATAGTGAGGAGTTTAGTTTCGACTTCCTCGATTCTAATTATTATTTCCAGAATCTTGCAAAATCTCACAAAGATTTCGAAGGTCTATCCGGAAAGTACACCGCTTATCTCATTATTGGTGATGCTCGCATACGGACTCCTTTATCTTGGGCTTTCGTATGTTTTTTGAAATTTAGTTTAGTTTTCGTCTATACCCATGGAGTGTTTAATTGAAGGCTGATTTCACCGTCACGGTTCCGCCTGTTGCTAAGAAAGAGGAACCAAAGTCGCACCGCGTTGACTATCAGCCTAAGCCAGAAATCAAACATGTTTTCCGCAAACCAGAGAAAAGGCCTTCCGCATTTGTATCGGACACCTTCACCTTCTTCTGCCTCGCTCCCCTCCTGCTGCTTCTTATTCTTGTAAGACCAATAGATGATTTAACCTTCAACGAAATTTTTGCCTTATATCATATCTCTTAAGTGGCTTCGCATTGGCTTGAACTTCACGAATATGCCAGCGAGTATTTGGACGCTGCTTTTCCACCTCGGACTGATGGGTAAGCTTTGAGGTTGTGGGTGATCGATTTTTATGTTAAAAACATTTAGCTCTATTTGCACTTTACTTTATCTTCTGGTTGCGACTGAATATGTTTACAACGCTCAAGTACCTTGCTGGAATAGCAGCGTTTACCTTCCTCGCTGGAAATCGCGTTCTCAGAGCGATTGCTGAGAAGAGGAAGTTAGTTTTTAGTTTTTTTTTGTCATCTGATTTGTCTGTGTATGTGCTATGCTGCAAATTTTCTCGTCTTATCGGGTCATCTGTTTTCTTTCTCATTTCATACCATTTTTTTAGGCATAAGACGGAGTAGATCAACCACTGCCAAATAGATTATCTATAGCAAGTCCACGTAGCCTTAATTCATTGCCGGTTTCCTATCTGCAGTTATTCATCGGAATAGGGCTTATCAAATCATGTGAATTCCATTCATATTTTTCGTGTGTAAGTTCGTCCTTAACCGGGTCATCTTTGTTGTTTATTTATGGACCGGATGAACACGAGCTCTGCTCAAATAGCGCCTTCCGGCGAGCTTCTTTTCTTGAGACTACTCTGGTTGTTGCGAGTTGTTACGTGCACTTCTCTTCTTTGTTAAGTTCTCTTGGGATTTCATGCTTGTTTTTATCATTACGTGTGTCTATGTGTTGATCCATCCACGGTTTTTTTGAGTAGTGGTGATTATTTATTATGAAGTTTTGTTTCCTGTTTGTTTATAATATGAATCATCAATAAATTATTGTTGCTTTCAATGTATGTCATGTCAAGAAAAGAGCATTCCATTGTGCTTCTCAAGTATTTCATGTTGGTCCTACTTGTTTCGACGTAATCTTATCAACATACCTAGGGATGTCACTGGTGAAAAATCTGAGGAGTCTCACTGCTGCGGGTCCTCGCGCCGTAGTCACTTGGGACAAGGTGAATATTGTACTTGGCTTTATGTTCGGGCAGTTGTTGAATCTATTATAATAGTAGGTAGAGTCTGGCTGCTACTATTGTTGTGGTTCTTGGACAGGTTTCACACGTTTTAATTCACATAGAAATTTATAGTTTTTCTATTTTCTCAGAAGAGAAGGAAAGAATACGTGCTGCGAAACAATTGCGACTTAGCAGCCTGCTTTGAGACAAGTATTCAATGCATCACAGAAGTAGAGTTTTAGGCTGAACGCATACAACGAAATGAAGAGATCTGGGCCAATCCTGAATCGATAGTCCATCGACTTCCTGAGCATTATTGTAGAAGGTATTGGGAAAACTTACTAAGGGATGCGAAACCCGTGCACTATCGGTGAGCAGATGCCTGAGCATTTTTTGATAAAATTGCTCCTATTACTGATGCCGGAGTACGTAATTTGCGGTCAGTGCGACATTTACGGTTGCATATATGTCTTTTTGTAACTTTGCTAGGAAGGTTTTTTGCGGGATAATGCCATTGAGTATCATCTAAATTACCACTACACCTTCGCTGCTGTATATGTACGTGTACGTTTTCAATCTTATTCCATTAGTGCTGCTTATGTGGCACTTGTTGAATGAAAGCACTTTTCTACTTGAACATTTATTCACATAGTGTCAATTTTGTTAACAAATGCTGCGCATATCGAAAAGTAACGGCGCTAGAGATTACGGTTATTTGTGCAAACAAGCGCGAATAACCATTCGGCTTCTAATACTTTGCAAACCTTCGGCCCATTGTGCAACCACAGAATCTATTGCTAAATGAAAGGCTTTGTCAACTACAATGATGACATTATGTTGTATCAGTCGCTTCAGCCCACCAGTGTCACGATTCTACTGGGATCCTGTGAGAAAAGTGGAGGTCGAGGCAGAAAACTATCCTCTGCTTGGTTTGTGCAACTGTTCCCTTGTTTCCATACATTGCTCTGCAGGTGTATAAACTGCTACAATCATTGTACATTCTATGTTTAGTGCTGCACCCACCAGAAGCTGATGAGGGTTTGTGGGGTGGTGAGGGTGTTGTCAAAGGCTGGAAGGAGTCACGTCCTTACACGAAGAAAAAAGTATTGCCAAGGTCGGTACATGGCATCAAACCTAATGTTTTACTGAATTTCAGATTTCAGGCACTGGGTGCCCAGACTCTATTTTCCCGCCTTGAAACCAGCTATTCTATACTCTGAGATTCTTAATAAGCACATGAAGGTAGAACCATTTGTTAGTTCCTACATTTTCGCATCTTATTAATCGCAGATCACTGTTACCGAACGTGCACTGCGTTTGATTGATCAGCATTTTGGGCTCGACTACTACATACTTCGTACACCTGAAATTGATCTAGCGTCCAAACTAGGCAATAGGTTTGCTAAAATAAATGTAGGTAGCTTACCTATTTTAAAGAATTTACTACAGGCTCAAACGAGAAATGCTACTTACGCTTGCAAATGAAAACTACTATCCTGAAGATGAAGAACACCATAATTACATCAAACAGAAGTATGTTGAGTCTCATAATTCATTATGTTGAATGGGTGCATGCTTCAAACTGATCACGTCGAGTCTGTCGTTTAAGGTACGCGGAGTTTGTGATCCCAGCAGAAGAAGCGGAGTGGGTTGGTTTGGATCTCAATGAAGCTGCACGAAAGCAGCAGATGCTTGAAGAGCAGCAAGTTCCTGAGCCCATGAAGTACACGTAAGACTTCGACTTCAGATTGTATGCATTCCAGCTTCTGCATATCAGTTTTGTTTGTGGTCTTTTTCTTTTCAAATATTCGCATTGAACTCTCGAACGAACATTATGCGCAGTGTTCTGCAATGTTCTCCACCTTCTTCTCTGTACTGTGACATAAGGACACTCATGCGGTCCGCGATGGCGTTCAAAATCTTGTGCGAATCTGCATTCATGAGAGTCGCTTTTGGAACATATCATACTATCTCATACCATATTGCGCATCAATTCATCCGTCATGGCTATGTTTTTGAATTTGAAAGGACCGTTTAGTTAAGAGGATGCTTCAAGCTGCCATGCTGGTAAACGACCATAGTCTAAGCACCGAGTCTAATATGGAGAAGCGAATTGATGCGTTAATATAATGTACATATCTACCGCCTTTATTTCATATATAAAAAATCCAACTTCAAAATTTAATCAGGACCTATATGAGAGTCCTGTAAGAACTTTCCCTTAGATAAGAATTCCTCACGATAACACTGATCGATGTATGCTACCATTATTCGGATTTTTTCCAGATTTGAGAGGGAGCTAGTGGCACGATTACAAGCTGGAACGGATCTTATTGCAAATGAGGAAGAGTTCGCTCCGAAAACGGAAGAAAGTAAATTTGGCGAACGGCTTCTTGGAAAGTATCTCAATCCTGTGGCGAAGCGATTGCGGAGTTAGAGGTGGCACTGGCTGATCCGTTGTCACTGTATAGATATGTATCTGTTATCATTGTAATAATTATTTCCTTTTTAACTTCGTAAATTTCTGTATTATACATAATATTAGGCGATCGTAGGCTGAAATAGGGTAGATATCGCTTTGTTTCAGATACACCTGTTATTTGTTTGAAATGTTAAAATTTTTTCGAGATGTTTTTGAGATATTAATCGAGAGGACGTCCTTGTTTATTCTTCAATTTGATCATGTGATCTCCATTTGAGATAAATTTTAGTTCGAGTTGCGTTCTACATGTGCTTACGGCCAAGTGCGTGCTTGTGGAGGACAGTTGTAAGGCGAATTGCTTCGAAAGAAGAACATTTTGCAGTGCGCGCGGGGCTGTACAAGGACCCCCAAAAGGTCAGACTTTTCACCCAAATTGGGGTCTATTCCTGTTTCATAGTAGTGTTTGTTGAACTACTCTGTAGTAGAGTGAGTATGCTTTTTTTTCAATCCTGTGATAACCTTTTTTTCTCTGACCCGATCTCGTGAATGCCAATTCATGCCCTTGTCGCAGCAGGCTTTTTCTTTCGTTGAGATAGTATACGCGGTTTGCAGGTCACACACGATTACTGACTGAAAAGGGTTACTTGCATGTCTGGGATCTCGTCTTCGGCCCCAATCTCGATATAGCGCTCTTTACAATGGGAACGAAAATTCGATAGTGGCTATCCCCCTCGTGTAGGTGTTCCCAACTTCCGGGGTGGAGGAACGAACACCTCAATTAGGCACCGCCTACGCGGACCACTGGTCCTAACACGATTGACAACAGTAGGACGGAAGGACCAGCAGGCCGCGGCGACGGTGCTGAATTGAGGTGTTCGTTCCTCTACCCCAACTTCCGTACCGACTAGTCTCAGGCTCTATATCTCTCTGCCTTTCAAGCGAAGGTGAGGTCAGGAGTCTTTCGCACCTAGCACGAAGATTCCAAAAGCTCCAATCTTGGCCGAACTGTTTCTTAAGTGCAAAGGCAGTGCCCAGACAAATCTGGGCACATGGGTTTTCGCCTGGAAACTGATGAGGTGGTCCTAACTAAGGCGCTGCTCAAGCGGCAGCGCGAGTAATTTATACACTGCTAACATAAGAAATCCGTTCCAAACCCTCCGCACCTGCGCCATGACCGTAACTCGCTAGTGACTTAGGATGGGCCAGCGCGAATGCAGTGTTAATGCGAGCGATGTCACTTTCGGGTTACGGTCGGTGCAGGCGCGGAGGTTGGGACGGATTTCTCAGCCGTGAATGAATCGTTCGCGCTGGAGCTTGGGCAGTGCTTTAGTTAGAACCCCCTCATCAGTTTCCAGGCGAAAAACCCATATGCCCAGTTTTGCCTGGACACTGCCTTTCAACAAAAGATTGTGGGCGGCTATAAATCTTCTCCCATAATATAAACCCAAAAACAAAAAGACAGACGGCTAGATTGCTCTGTCCCTATGCATGACCGCCTAGAAAATTCAAATTCATATTCCGAAACGGCAAACACTTTGCTTTCTTAAGCCAATAATCGACTTGGAAGTTTCAAATTAAGAGATTATTGGTTTCGGCATATGTGATTTTTAGGACTTTGCAAAAATTAAGGCTTTTGACAAACTTTACTCAAAAATACTTTCAAGCTAGTCAAAAAAGCCTAAAAAATACATTTTCTTGCCTGATCGACCTTATCCAGCAGTGATGAAAACTCTTCCAAAAGCAAGAAATACAAATTTTAAATTTAGCAAAAATAGGGAAAGGTAAAAATCAAGGATTGAAGATTCTGGCGATCATTCGAGCGACCATTAAAAGACCCCGGAACAAAAACATCGCCGCAAAGAAGAAGGGATTTTGCATCGGAAACTATTTGGAGCATCTGTCCTTCATTACTGAAAGATTCGGGGATAGGTGAAAAATGGGCACGGACTTTCGGACCAACCTAATATAATAAGGTTGTAAAAATACCATCACTTTTATCAATTTCAATGATATTCGGCAACTGGAGCTAAGGGGTGGGAGTCGATGGGAAATGAGCATGCCGATTACGACTGAATTGGCCATTACTTTTATCGATTTCGATTATTTGCAACCTTTGAGCTATATGGCTTGGTTTTGACACAGGGAGGTAAGTGAGAATAACTTGTTATGAAAATACCCATCTTTAACGACGATATCGATTATTTGCAAACTGTTAATGGAGCTGGGAGTTGGGACAGGGTAGGAGGGGATTGTGCATGCTGATCATATAGTACCAGGTCAGAACCTATTGCTTTGATCTATCTCATGGATTTTTAGTGGAAAAATTTAGTGTAGTACAACCTTTACATGATTCATCTCCCGCTTTCCGGGCAAAGTTTGAGAAAATTACTGGAAAACTCACTTCAGAGAAGCAGTTGCTCTGCAAATTTTTTTTAGAAAGTTGAGGATGTCTATTGGAAGGAAATACAGCGTTCTCAGAGCAGAACACTATTTTCGAAGAGCAATACAATTTTGCGGGGCAAATTTTGAGACCCTTTGAAAATTTTGCTTTTGAGATCAACTGCTCTGCAGTTCCGCTTTTTTTTTTCAGAAAAAGATGAGCATATGAGCAGGCATCGGAAGGAAGTTTTAGAGAGACACCATCTACTTTCGGGTCAAATTCAACAACCTCTGCAAAAATTCCATTTTTCCCTCAAAAAGTGTACGAAGGGTTTCGCAAAGCAGAACTCCATTTTAGGACGATATCATCCACTTCCGGCCAAATTTCAAAAAAAAAATCTCCGAAAATCTTGTTCTGGTGTGAAATTGCGGCAACACGTAGGCTGATGAAATGGAAATTCAGTTGAAAATTTTTATAGTTCCAAACAGAGCTTATCTATGGATTTGTTCCAACCCGCTGGCTAGCGACCCGTTTCGCTAGTTATTAGGTTGTAACAAGTCATGCAATTCACATTTTCAATGGGGATCCAGGGCACCATTCGATAAAGCAAAGCAAGCTCTACAACTTGGTCTGCAAAAGTTCGCCCCAACATCCAAAATTTGAGTCGCACTGAAGGCTCAGAAAATCGCGAAAAATTCATATCTTCGTTCAATATGCTCACAAAAATTGCACACTACCTCAGACACTCACATGTGCCGTTTCTGAATTTTTTCCTCATTTAGAAATCGAGAGGACGAAAATTTTCAAGTTTTTACAAAAACAAAGCTAAGTGTTTCCATATATGTTTCCATATAATTACAAATTGTATACTACAATCCCTTAGAAGTATAACCGTAAATTTTCAGCTTTCCGCAAGCCTTGATTTTCGAAAATTACCGAATTTAGCTCTCCTCAGTCGGGTGTTTCATGCTAAAATCAATATTTTTCGAAAACTAAGGCTTGTGGAAAGCTGAAAATTCACGGTTATAGTTCCAAGGGATTGTAGTATGCAACTACATAAGAGGGAACAGCGTAGCTTCGTTCTTGTGAAAATATAAAAATTTTCGTTTTCTCGATTTCTGAATGGGAAAAAAATTCAGAAACGGTACATGTGAATGTCTGAGGTAGTGTGTAATTTTTGTGAGCAAGTTGGAGATCCGTAGGATTTTATTGAACGAGGATATGAATTTTTCGCGATTTTCTGAGCCTTCAGTGCGACTCACATTTTGGATGGAAATAAAGGCAGTGTCCGGGCAAAAACTCGGTTTTGAGGTTTTGTGCTTATAGGGCCTATTCGCCATGCTGAATCCGAAAATCCACACTGGAAAGCGAGAAAACGGCAAAGAAGGGCTCTAGCGCAGAAGGGAAACAGCAAGTGGGCGGGGTCCTCCCCACTGTGAATTTATGCTCCCAGTTTCCGGAGCGGTCTTTTCGATTCCGTAGCCGTCCTAACATCGCTACCGACCAAGTGCGAATGGTTGACTTGAAACCGGAGGCGAGAAGATCGCTCTGGAAACTGGGAGCGTGAATTCACAGTGGGGAGGACCCCGCCCACCTGCTGATTTCCCTCTCGTGTTAGAGCCGTTTTTCGCCGTTTTCGCGCTCTCCAATGTGCATTTTCGGATTCATGGTGGCGAATAGGCCCGGGTAAGCAAAAAATCTCAAGATCGAGTTTTTGCCCGGACACTGCCTTTAAAGTGGGTCGTTGGGGCGAACTTTTGCAGACCAAGTTGTAGAGCTTGCTTTGCTTTATCGAATGGTGCCCTGGATCCCCATTGAAAATGTGAATTCATGACTTATCGCCATAAAAGTTAGGGTGTCTCAAGACTTATGTTACAACCTAATAGAAACATGGTGCGATAGGGGAGCAGGTCGCCTCTAGGTGGAGGGGGTTTTGGCTATTTCCGACGTAGAAAAGTGAAGGGGGTAACTGAGTTAAGATAAATGCTGACGCCAGCTTACATGCCTAACTGGAGCGCGAGCGAAAAGAAAGAATATGAATGGTACCGTGTAATATGAAGATTTTCTCAATCTTAGGTTTTAGAAAATTATTCAACACTTTTTTGACCCAGGAAAGCTTTATATTTCATCAGCCGACATACCATTCGAAAGCTCAAAATTTACCATAATGAATACCATAACAAGCCAAATCAATGCTTTTTCAGATCCTATTCGTACATGATGATCAGATCGTGCCATATGGAGATTTTATGGTACGTACAGGAAGATACGCCAGCCTATTAAACAGCAAGTATGATATCAGCGTATGTTTATATTTCTGAATCAATTTTTCTTTTACGAGATTATGTTCGTTTGAGACGCATGTTCCTTAAGTCTTTTTTTTCAGAAAGGTGACAGAGTTTTGTGCAGAACGAGTAAAACACTGGACTCCGTGGCATTGTATATGGCATGTCTTCAAATAGGAGCTATTTATATACCCGTAAATCCCGCTTATACTCGCCATGAAACGAAGCACTATGTTAAGGTAAGTGAACCTAGGATCATATCGAGGTCGTGGAATAAGCCTTCAAAATCCTTGCTTAGTTTTTTTGTAGCTGGATGGTGAAGTTCCATAAAATACTTCTCCCGTTTTTAGACCCTATGTAGAATGCTCCACCCCTCCCCCCCCCCCCTCCCCCGAGAATAGATCGCGTTTTGAAAATTACTTACATGTATCATAAAAATGTGTATGACTTGCTTCTACTTGTAAATAATTGTAATAGTTTTTCAAAATTTTCAAAACTTCTCAGATCAAACCCTGTATAAAAATTTCGGGGGCACCGCAAAAATCCTGGAAAGCATCTGAATAAATTTTTTGGAGTGCATGCCTGAGAACCCATCTGGATGTCGATAAGATAATTACCACAGCCATCCTAAATGCTAATCATCTCATTACCACTAATGAAAGTTTTCTGTTAGTCATTGTAAATACTCAGCTTATTTTGATATTTGACTCCCAGCATTCCCTTTTAATAAATGTTTCTCTCATCCCCGTCTTGGTAACCTTTCTGTTTTGCCTGAAATCGAGCGCCTCCAGTTCTTTCTTAAGCAGCTAAAATCTCTGTCTCCTTTCGTTCAGGATTCGACTCCAAAGCTCCTGGTCACATGTGACGAAAACAAAGACAAAACGTTTGAAGATACGGTACCCAATGTTCAACATGAAAAAACACTATCTGCGGAGGCTCAGAGTGCCCCGGTCGTCTTGGACGTGGAGAATGTGGAAAGTAGTGATGTCGCTTGTGTTTGCTACACATCTGGCACTACCGGTTAGGCTTAACCACTTTTTTGTGATACTTTGAAACCAATTAGTGACGATGTGCTGGAGAGTCTGGGTATTTGGACTTTTTATATGGGTACTGAGGGACCTAGGTGAGCAGCAAACGCCAAAGTGGCAGCTCATATAGCTCATTCGTGGCCAGGAATATCAACTCGAAATTTTCGTCCGATACCGTACTCGAGGACGCCTGTTGCTTTGGTGTACTGTACCGGGGTAAGAAATTGGAAGTGAAATTTTCGGCAATGTTTGTATTAATTGAACCACCGCTACGATGAATAATTATTATTACCCAGTCAATTTCACTCAAAAGTCCTATCTAATCAGATTTGCCCGCACACTTCCCTTCATTAGCCGCGAACACTTTTCGTCTCATTTTTTAGGTCTTCCAAAAGGAGCTATGTTGACTCATGGATCATTAGCTGCAAATGCTGAAGCTCTTGTGCATGCATGGAGATTCAAACAAAACGACAAGTAAGACAACATTTCAATTCCACGAAGATACGCGCTAATCTAGGATATTTCAGATTACTCCACATGCTTCCTTTCTATCATGTACACGGCATGTTCATTTCCCTCAATTGCTCACTATTTTCGCACTCTACGGTTGTATGGAGAGAACAATTTTCCATTGGAGACTGTCTGAAGTGGCTTCCATCATCAACAGTCATGATGGGTGTTCCTACATATTATAGGTGAAGTCTATTACTATACGAAAGCAGGCGGCCATATAAGCAGAGCAGATGCGAACGGCATCCCATCATTTTTGGAGCGCGTTAGACGCACGAACGCAACATATCCGCCTCCACGCTTAGCTTATTTGGACAACTGCCTTAGTCCGGCAATGAACTGTAAACTTCAAAGGATCCGCATTTTCGAATCAGGCGGGTTATGGGGATTATTTGAGATCATGTTAAATATGGTCTCTTTTGAAAGCTACTGAGTCCTTTGATTTTTACGAATAAGCTCCACTTGTAGCTTAATTTTCGCAAAAAAAACCATGACAATTGCTTATGACGCCTGTACCGATATTCTGTAAAAATCTTTGATGTACTCATACAAGACAAAATTTTCATTTGCAGTCGTCTGCTTTCAACGTCCGAACTGATCAGAGACGTCGTACCTCATATGCGTTTATTTGTCAGTGGTAGTGCTCCTCTTTCAACTCCAATCTGGGAAGAATTTAAGTCCAGAACCGGGCATGCTATCCTAGAACGTTATGGCATGACTGAAGGTTCTTCTTTTACATATAATATAAAAACCTGTGTTTTTTATACCAATTTCAGCGCAAGTCATCTGCTCGAATTTATACGACGATCGTCGTCCTGGTACAGTAGGAAAACCCATTGGGGACACAAAGGTGCGTATTAATCTTCCTTTTCTACCCCAGACGTAGGAATAATTTCTTACAGCTTCGTATAAATGACGAGGGAGGTATAGAAATACAGTCATCGTCACTATTTGCTGGATACTGGAAGAATCCGAAGAAAACTGCCGAAGATTTTACTGAAGACGGTTACTTCATCACTGGGGATATTGGAGCAGTTGATGAAGATGGTTGGTGTAGTTTCTTTGTGGATGAAATGTGGCTAGATTTCGGCTTATAATCAAAAGTAGCAAGTAGCTACCCTGAGGGTGCTATCCTTTCGCTTACTTGGAAATTCAGATTTATCTCATCAATATTTAACACATTTGTTGAGTCAGAATTTAAAAAAAAATTAATTTATTACGTGTCATGAGACCTAGCCATGGAAGGATTACTGCATTTTCTATTTATTTCCGTTAGCGGTAGTTAAACCCACTGGCGGCAACAATTTCGTTCTTGCTTGAGCAAGAGTTCTATGTTCGTACATCAAAAATGTTACAAACATTGCCACACGAACTTTTGGCATGTACTTGTCGACTAAGTGAACTTCCCTTGTAAGCAAAAAATCGGTAAAATTGATAAAAGTAATCGATGATTCTGAAAACTAGTATTGTATTCGTAATCAGCATGCTCGGTTACCCCCCTGTGCAAACTCCCAGCCCCGTAGGTGAACTCGCAAAGAATCGATAAAAATCGATAAAATCGGTAAGAAAATGATAATGTGTGTGGAATGGAAAGGTAGCAGAATCTTCAATTCAACTTGATCACGCTATTCTAGATCTCTACAGAACTTTTGTCAAGCCTTTACTCTACTGTCTGGTTTTACCGGGCGAAATCAGTGTACCGTTAATTCGAGGCTTTGCGAAAATCGTTAGGGCAAATGTTCTCCGGATACTTAGACGGCGAAGATTTTGTCATGAACTTCAAAATCGCTGTATTTTCAATCCAATATCCATCTTTTAACAACGGTCTTCTTGTGGCAGCTCACATTTCCTTCTTTTTTGTCTCCTTTCACACATGCTTAAGATCTGCATCTTGTTCTCAACGTTTATTTTGATTGATTTGGTCAATACCTGATGTTGGTGTTCATTGACAGCTCTAGTTCCACTCGTGATCAATATGTAAAGTTTAAACTCGGAAGATTGCAGTCATATGCAGCATGTCAAATGAACTCCTAATTGTTTAGGCCATTCTATATTTATTACGCCAGTAGTGCTATCGTGCATAGAGAGTATAAACTAAGCCAAAGTTCCATTCTTGAGTTCGACGAGTGTTATAGCCTTGTTACCGATGATTCAGACGTAATCTTGGACACAAGTTTTGTTTCGCTTACGTATTTTGGCCAACTTTTGGAGAGTTGAACCTCACTAGATATAAAAAACCATCACCTTTTTTTTACTAATTTTCATTATTCGAATCCGTAATATGTAAATGCAGTGCTCTCAGTTGGAACAAATAGTTATTTCTTTCAAAAGAATTTTTTTATATTATTAGGTTGTCCCATAAGTTTTTCATATTCGTACCTTCAAACTGATATTCAGAAATTGGAACAGTCGGCATTATAGGTCCTATCACCAGCTCTTTCCGATTGTGCAAAAATTGTGCTGATCGAGCATCTCTATGAAAAGTACTGATTTTCGGGAGAATTGCCAAAATAAATCAAATTCGCCTTTTTGTATTGCTTGCTTGAAAATCATAACTTTTCATAGAGGCTGAATCAGCACAAAATTTGCACAGTTAGAAAGAACTTGTAATAGAACCTATAATGCCGAGCTGCTCCGATTTTTACCGCAAGTTTCAGATTTTTTACGACCCTACACAAAAATTCGAAATTTGAGGGATTATTTCTACCGCTTATAGCTATACAGTGTATGCTCACTAGAATGCCGCTAAGAGCTACAGAGAGAATGAATTGCTCTTTTAGAAAAAAAACGAAAGCATTATAGGTTGGGAGTTCCGAATATTATGAATTTTTGAAAATGGTGCAAACGAACTTTCGGGCCAACCTAATAATTGATGCTAACAGGTTTTTTGCGGATACTTGGTCGGTGTAAGGATCTCGTAATCTCTGGAGGATATAACGTGTATCCAAAAGAAGTGGAGGATTGCATCGACAGACTTCCAGATGTCAAGGAATCCGCAGTCATTGGTGAGGAAATATTTGCACCACTTTTCGCCGAATTTTTTCTCGTTCACAGTTCTACGACACCAGTCTTGACCATAAAAACTAGAAACCTTAGTTATGACTTCGCAAATTGTGGCAGTTCTTACCAAGTTTCGGCCATTTATATATTTATAATTATCGCATTGTTCTGTTATTCCTGATAAATTTTATTTTAGGTGTTCCACATAAAGATCTTGGCGAAGCACCAGTAGCAGTAGTAGCTATGAGCTCTGAGAAATTTTTAGATGAAGAAGTTATGGAATCAAAAATCATAGAATCTCTGAAGGAAGTACTTGTGAAGTACAAGGTGAATCATTCCTCATCAATTTGCTCTTGGTGATAAATAACAGTTTTAAGGTGCCAAAACGAGTCGTCTTTCTACCAGAACTCCCAAGGAACACTATGGCAAAGATACAAAAGAACGTCCTTCGAGAGCAGTACAAGCACCTCTGTGATAAGTAGCTATTAGTAATAAGTAGTCTTCCGTACAGTATAAGCTACCTCGCTTAGCAAAGCCATGACACCATAGATTCTACTTATGAGTGCATTCCTCTTCTAAATAGTTGCCATACATCTGCATTTTTTCTTTGTAGATGATTTTGAAGTATTGTACTCGTGCCGTGTAACTGAGATGTTGCATCGAAGCAGATGAGATAGTTTTATGATTTTTGACTGAATCTCCCTAACCACAGTGTTTTTCTACATTCTGAGTGAATTTCTATACAAATCTGATAAATGTAATTGAGCTGAAAATTGAAAAAAAAAACAGACCAAAAGCCATATCATAAAAATGACAAATATGATATTAAAAGAATGATTCAACATAGCTGCAACTTCAAGAAATGTCTATTGAGTTGACTGTATTAGTATTGCGCTCAAAGTTTTCTCGGTTTGGATTGATGTGGGAGATTTTCGCAGTAGAATGAAGAATGTGTATGGCGCAGTTGGTAGGATGCAGACCCTTGCGGTGGTGGTGGGGAGATCGGGCCCCATGGGGCCAATTGCTTTGCGGACACATCCACTTTGTTGCAAGAAAACGAGGCAGGTACCTCAAACTTGGGTAACTAAACTGGAAAAAGACGGTGAAAACACCTAAACTTTCTATGTTTATCAGAAACCGGGGACAACATCCGTGATGAATGAAAATATGGACAACCTAACTCGTCTCAGATGGTTGAGTGGTATGTTGACAACTACAGAGTGCGGCATCACAGGTTCAGTCTCAGTAGTGACAACTGAGTGTAAGTAGAAACTTTTATACAAAAATTATGTGTTCTAATCAGAGAATTTCCCCACGCTTTAGACAAAAACCGAAAGCGAAGGATATACGAAGCACTGAAAAATAATGCTCAGTCAAAAGGTAAACGAGTTGAGCGAGCTGGCTACAAACAGCGACAAGAAAGCAGGTGAGGCAGGGGGACCAACGCAAGGGGAGCCAGCCGAAGCAGAAGGAGAGGGGAGGGGGAGACAAAGCAGCAGGGGAAGAAGGGAGAGGGGAAGAGAAGGGAAGGAACAAGGGAGGAGGGGGTACAAGGGCGATCCGGGGCAAGGGAAGGTGATCCAACAAGATGGAGAACACCCACAGTGTTACCATCCATCTCCGCGGAACCAAAAAAGTGCAAACCCCCCCCCCCCCCCCACCAACCCACGCCACACCCAAGCAAATGCCCCCAGGGTCCCCATCGGCACCAGAGACGCCCTCCGACGCCCCAGTACTCAACCCAAAACACCCACTATTGTCGTTCCGATTAATGACGTAACTGGACTCGAACCCTTTATGCACTCACTGCAATCGGACACGTTACCCATTCGACCATCCGTATATGACAGCTGTGGCTCCCGGGCGCGTTATAAATCTTTGGTTCAGCCGTTGAACGCAAAACTGGGCAGTCAACCAGGACTTGAACTTCCACCTCTCTTTTAAGAGACAATGCCTCTATCCATTCAACCACGCTGTACAACAGCTTGTTTAGTTGCTACTGTGCTATACACACATGTTTTGGCTATTCCCCAAATTAAAGCATCACGCTTCTTGAATAGAACCTTCACTTTTTCCACCTCACATTTTAGCCTCTCAGCCAAAGGTGCATTTCTTTTTTCTTCTATGGAAATTCGCAAATCGTACTTCTAAAAGGCTGACCATTTGACGCAATTGCAATCGCTTACTTACCTACCACGAGACCGAACCTTGAACGTTATTCTATAATTCCTCTGTACTAACCATTCAGCCAAACACACACAAAGATGCGAGACTTTTCTTATGTGACAAGAACTTCTCTGGGTTACAATTTCTAAGTAGTTTGTTTCGAATTCTTAAATGTTAGACATGTTTAGATGGTCGAGAGGATACGTGTCAGGATTCAGAGGACCCTAAGTACCACATTACAGAAAGTTCGACTCCGAGATTGTGAATTAATTTCGCTAACAAAAGAATACGATATATGACGATTGAGGGATTATCTTCCTGCATGCGTGAATTGGTCATGTATATGAATTTTCGGAAATGACCAAAATTTGGGTTGCGTATTCAATCCTGGTGGAGTATGTCACGTGGTTAGTCTGGTGTGGAGGCATCTGAGATTTAGAGGTTTTGCGACCCGAACAGACTTTTGCTATTTGAAGAGGTATTTGCAAGATGTTATTTCCTTCCTTCTCTCCTTCTTGTCTTCGTTGCGACACGCCTTGTGCTGCTCGCTTCCAGGTGCTCGTTCTCCTATCGCCCTCACCGTTCAGACCGTCTCACTCAAACTTCTATCATTCTTAGTACCCACATTCCTTGCTTCATATACAAGATTGCAAGCGTAAAGTGTGAATTCATGCTTTTAAGCACGGTAATCTCAACTGCTTGTCAAAAAAGGGCCAAACCCTGCAGATATTTTGGATTCTTGGTCAAAATCGCAAAAAACGCCTTGGATGACTCATAGAAAACTCCACCCCTCACTGCGATAGAACTCCTAATCACTGAGAGGCTGCACACTTACTGCTTGAGCCATACAACAACCCTTATGTTGCACTGGGAATATCGCAAATTAACTCAACGACAAAGTCAAGAAGAAATCTCTTTGAAGGGAGAAATTTGGCAATCCGTTCACGAGGCTGTCTTGTCAGAAAATCTGAATAAACAAGAAAAAACTGTAAGTTTGTGCCCACTGACTATGAAGAAACAAGAATAATTTGATGGGGATGTGATTTATGATTTTTTTGCAAACTCTGTCTCTTCTCACTAGTTCAGCGAAAGTTATTCTGTCAGACACTTCGCAACGAACTTTATTTACACAAATTATCATCCCACATATAATATTACACAACTTCATTTTACAACTATTAGTATGGCATGATTTGCTCCCAAAAGTGTGCCTGAGTACATGTGGTAGTTCTCTCTGCAATCGTTTAGTGTATTGTAAGAGATTTTAAATATGCTACGAGGTTCCTTTTCTCTCTCAAACATGATAGCAATTCTAGCGCCACCGGCCGCCTGCTCTCCTGCAGAATGAAAATTGGTGTATTTGGAGCGAGTACTGGAATGAGGAAGACTGTAGCAAGCAAAACCAAATGAAAAACCACAAGCATGCAAAAGAAGGTCTCGTCCTAGCGTTCGCCTCATAGTTCTTGCCTGCATACTTATTGGTATCCATATGTATTTGTGCACCAGTACTATAGCACACACCAGCAAACTCGATATGAGGGTTTGGTTTAGGTCACATTAGGAACAACTAGGTTGATGCAAGAATAATGGCCGTTTTTCTAAGCCTCTTTTCAGGACAACTTTCCCCATCATAATTTCTTGTTTGAAGCATATGGGCCTACCATTGAGAAGCTCTTCTCAAGCTCTATCTAATGGTGGTTGAAGCGAACTTTAAGCCTCATCTGTCAAAGAGTGGCAGAGCTTCAAATAACCGCATTCAAGATTATAATTTCATTGCATTCACTCTTCTGCCCGAAATTCATGCGCAAATGAACGGCGCTTCTTCGAAACTAGCTACTGTTTGTAAAAAATGCCTCCATCGCGCATACCTTACCATTTTCTCAAACTGAGACATCGGTGCCTCATGGGTAGTCGCTTTGATTGTTCTGTGGCCCATAAATTTCTTTTGAAAAAGGCAATCCCAGCTTCGCTCATTTCTGACAGTGTAAGGGTAGGGCATCCTGTTGACAGTTTTTGCAAAAACATTTAGCTGTTCAGCAGACAAAAAATCAAAAAACAATAATTCGAGGACTATGAAAGATGATTAAAAAAACGACAATAATATTTTTTTCTTCCTACAAATCTCCTTTGTCCAAACCCTTTTCATCTCATTTTGGCCTATTGGCTTGCATCTTCAAGATTGGCAGCTTATTATACTCACAAACTTTAAAGGGAATTATGATTTGTCAAAACAGATGAATGTGTACATTCTCGCAGTCAAAAACGTAGATCTTTCAAAAAATGTAGCACTTCTGTAAGGCTCGGCATAGTTCCGCAGAGCAGCTAACGCTAAGACTGATGTGAATATCGTGTATGGGATATTCAATGTTCGCCGGCCTTAGCTAAACCAATTCCCAACAACTATTTATTAGCAAGGAGATGACCATGCAATAGGACGAAACAAGTGACCTTTCAGATTAAGGCAGCTAAACTACAAAAGATCATAGTGAGCCGTCGGCCAGCGGCGGTGAATCATGACGGCCGATATGAGTAAATAAAGGTGCGGTCGCTACTTGCAAAATTACAAGACAAGAGTAAGAGAGTTCGAAAAGGGAGTTGAGGAACTACATTGAATAAGAATAAGAAAAGGTACGAATACACACCGAAGGTTTCCTACGGTCTCTTATATATATGTTTCACTAATGGATACGAACATACATAGTCACATAAAACATATAATAAAAATGGGGTTCAGGTTAACATTGCCTAATGGAGAATACACAAACTTCCTAACAGGTCCATTATCCTTCGATAGTTCCATGAATTTCTTTCTCTTGTTCTGCTAGTTCGTTTTTCGTCATGATCGCTTCGCTATTGCAATGTTTGCTTACTCACTCGTTGTGTAAACATAGAGTCCGCTGTTCGCACATGCGCGGAATATTCGGCAGGCACGTTACATCTACGGGGGATCGAAAGGTTGCGTCCCGCAACCTGAATATTGGAGAATTGTGACTCCAAAGGTAATCAGCATTTGTTTGTTGGTGTTCCTTTCAGGGGCATCGAGAGTTGTCAAAGGCTTCTTCTCTTGATTCTGCATCAATTGATCGGCGATACTTCGTATTCACATAATTGAATAAATCCTTTTCCATTTTGTGTGCACACATCACTACTGTATACATGTCCAATGCGGCTCGCGCCCAAGGCAAATGGAATGGTTGCGCGGCCGGTGTCTTGACGCGAGTTCCAAATCCTAACTAACTAATAAAGTGCCATTTGCCTTGTACATGGTCCATATTCCGCATACGGGTCGTCTTGCGCAACCATTATCTTTAGACCGGTCATCATATCCAATACATCAAACTACTTCTAACTAAGGGGAAAAGGGTCTGCCTGAATGTGGACAATGCCTTGCGATGCCTTGAAAAACGGAGTCCGGAATTACGAGACGCGTCTGAGTGCTCCGTCATTCAATCTTGGGGCTGAATTCCAATTGGAGACAACAATAAATTAAGTTGTTTCTTCCCGTAGGCGTCGAGATAATCGTCGATATTTCTTTGGCTATTGACTTTACCGTTAACCCGAGACTGTCTGGCCAGTACAGTCCTGGTATTGTCCAGTGGATC